TTCAAAAATTATGTGGTTGCTTCTGTACATTGATCACTGAACATAACAAATATTTACATATAGCAAAATAAATTACATATTATGCATACAAAATATAATTTTAACCCCCAAAACCTTTTTTTTCTTCATTTTGTACTGTACACATATATATATACATGCATACATACACCCATAATATATTATACATATATATACATATATATACCCATATATACACCCATAAATAAACACACACTGATATATATATATTATATATATATATATATATATATATATATATATATATATATATATATATATATATATATATATATATATATATATATATATATATACATACACACATACACTATATTTTTTTTTTTTTAGATCCTTATACCATGAAAGCAAAAAATCTTTATAATTCCTTTTGAAGCTGTGAATATTTGGGAATATTGAGATTTAAGCCATGTTATAATGTTGTTACCTCATCAAAAAACAGACCTAGAGTTGTGTTTTGTTTCATTCACACATGTTTGATTAGTGTTATTTGTATTAGTATTAGTCTGTCCAGAACTCTAAAACTCAAAATGCTTGTTGAATGTTAAACAGCTCCTTTTAACTTTCGTTCAGTAAAGTTTGGCAATTCCAGATCTGAAATTATCCAGATGATTCTAGTGAAGGTGTGTGGAGTTTAAAAACACGGTGGAGCACTTCCTATTTTACCACACGGCATCAAAAAGGTGTAACAAAGTGCATTCTGGTTGAAAGAACTCAGCCTAAATATGCAGCGTTTGTGTGTTAAACATGTTTGAATGAAACTAAACACAACTCCAGTTCTGTTTCTGACGAGGAAACAACATTAAAACATGAAACAGGAAACTACCACACCCTAAACGTGATGCCCATCTCTAAATATAATGCCAAAAGAAACCGAAACAGGCAATGATCTAAATGCTCGTCAGTTCAGGGGACAGTCACTGGAAAGTACTGGTATCGCCCCAAGAGTCAAAACATGTAGTGACTCGTCAACTCAAGAATTTGTTTGTGTCTCTCGTTTGTCTCACAGCTCGGCATCTAAAAATCTAAAACTGAAATTACAAAAACAATATTACTTCTTCATAACATGGATTATCTGAGTATTAATATCTGTCATTGGGTTTTATTAATTTCAACAAGAGTTACGGTAATCTTCAGAGGATATGTACTAAATCTTGTGAAGAATGAGCCACTCCCTAAAGTTTACATTGGTTAAGAAATACGTTTCGACAATGACGGTCACATGCTGGCTCTTGTCGTCAACACAATAGACTTAAAAACATATATATTTAACGTTAAGTCTTTCACGTTGCTTACTGTGATTTGTTTCCGTGGTTACAGCAGGTGTAAAAAAAAAAAAATGCAGAAATTGATGGATTATATAGTAAAATCTGATCATGTTTTTGTAATTGATTCATTCATTGAGCAATTTCCATCACAGTAGAATCTATTGTGGGAAATATTGTGACTTATAGGAGTGGGAACTATTGACAAAGAGTTATATATTCATTTTTTTTTAGCATTCTGATTGATTAATTTGTTTTATTTTGAGTTTGTGCCAAGAGAAAAACAATAATCATACATACTACATTACATTGTAAACAGAAGAAAAGCACAATTCTCGAAAAGGAGTGGGAAGAAGAAAAAAACTTATTAAACTTATATAAACTCACTCCTGTTCATTACATAGTGTCAAAAATTATGCGGTTGCTTATGTACATTGATCACGGAACTTTACAAATATTTACATATAGCAGCATAAATTACATACTGTACATACTAAATATAATTTTAAGCCAAAACCTTTTTTTTTTTTTTTTTTACATACATACATAAATAATAAATACACACACACACACACTCATATATATATACATCGATACAAAATGTTCGCTGCAAACTTGGGATGATTTAGGCAGTCAAATGTTTCCTTTTTCGTCCTTCCTGTGGATCAATCCTGCCCTTCGTCTTCACCTTTCTCTATTTTTCAATTCCGTTGGGAAGGGAAACAGTTTGAACAAAGGTTTGCAGTCACACACATCTGATTCTCCTTTGCATTTATGGAGTTCGCAAACAAATTTCTCGAGCCGTTTTCCGCTGTTAGGATCCAACAACCACACAATTACGATGTCCGAATGCCAAAACTAAAATATGACAATATCAGAACCAGAAACAAAAGCGATAATGTTCAAAAGACTTGAAAACATCGGCTTTGTCAATAGACGCATCCCACTGTAAAATCAAACATGGCGGTTTGATGCTCACTTTTTCGGAAAATCCTTCCCAGTATGTATCGCGCAATGACCGGAAGTCCGAGATTCTTGATGCGTGTATTACTTGGACACCACTGAGCGTTCCAGCACATTATATACGTCACAACCAAATAGCAGCAATTGGTTAAATAAAAAAAGTTTTAAAAAGTGAATTGTTTTGTACAACTACCTATTCATAGATGAACTATTAATATGCATGTCACAGTATAGATTAAGTGTGAAGAAGAGACCACTTTAGAATAGGGACCATATTTCATAAAAATTTATGTCTAACTAGTTATTTATTAACAATCAAAACATCACTTTATTATGGGGAACATATTTAGAGGTTAATGGTTTAATTCTATTAACTATATTAATCCTTACATACTATTCGGGTTAAATTGGACCCGTTTTGACATTGAACAGTAGTAAAAATACACTAAGCATCATTCTTTGATCTTGAAATTTTATGACTTTTCCAAAATTTTGCCAAAATACACAAAAATGAAAATATTTCAAAATGTTATACTTTTATATACTACTGCTTTGAATGCAATGACTAGTTTGAAATAAGCATAAGGGCTGCAGTGGATAAAACTGGTTATATTATAAATTCCAACAGTTCCAGAATAATCATGTCATTTTCAAAAGCAATAAATATCATCATCATATTGACTTTTATGTTTTTATGTGTTTTGTAAAACAGGACATGATACTGTGTGATAGCAGATGTTTTTCTTCAAAAATGAGTGGTAAAACTTACAAAAATATTCTCTTCCTGCTCTCTGAAACATTGTATTTATATATTACATATATTTATTCATGTGGAACAGTCTAATTATTTGGTATAGACACTTACTACAAGGGAATTCTTGGTCCGGGTCAAATTTGACCTGAACCATACTGTGAAAGCTTAAGAAATGAACAGTATGTAAGGGTTAACTCTCTATTAACCAACAGTCATTATAGAGAGTCATCCAACCCATTATTAGTTCAACTTAAAGTGTTGAAAATGCAGGATATTGTTGACTCAAATATCCTCAAAGTCATGTATAAAGTATAAAGTGCAATGTGTTACCTGTAAATATTCAAAGACTCTTGGAGATGAGAACAAGCCACTGCAACTTAAAAGGAACCTACATGTTTAAAAAAAAAAAAAAAAACAGATTCAGAACCAAGGTTATGGAGTGAAGCATTGCTGTGAAAAGAGTTAACTTATGGAATAGTTTTGACAAAGATATAAAAGAATCAAGTACAATGACGACATGTAAAAAAAACATATAAATAGAATGCAGTGTGTATGTATAAAAAAGAAAACGTTGTTGTGCATAATAGTGAAGATTTCTGTTTGCAATTGAACAATAATTGTGCCTGAACTGAAATGCCCTGATATGAAATGTTTTAAAGTGACTATCAGTGTTGATGTTTTATCTTGAAAAGGGAAAAGGGGGCAGATAACACGATAACTCTTCTTCTTGCTCCTTTTTATTCATTTCTTGTAAGTTTGATGTTGTGACACTGTCACTCTCTTTATACTCTATGAATGAAATAAATCAACTAATACCATCTAAAAATACCACCTAATAGAGAGTTTTATAACACAAGTGTGAGCAAAATTTATTAAGCGCAAATAAGTAAAAACTAAATCTCTTGTGCTACTAGTCCTCAACAACATGCTTATTACCAAAAGCTTATTAGAGTCACAATTTATGAAAAAACTAGTATCAAACTAATAAGCAATAATAATGAGTGTATTAAGAGGAAAGTGTTTGTAAATGTCTAACTAATAGCAGAATAAATTTATGGGGAATTAGACATTAATAAGAGCTGAATGAATACTAATTAATGACAAATTAACCGTGGACCAAACAGAAAGGCAAAGACAAAGTATAAAAATATGTTTAAGTTTAATAGAGTCAAAAAAAGAGATGATTTCACAAAGGCTCAAATTAGGCAAATCATGAACAAAAAACTCAACTGGGGTAACTCAAATCAAACTGAACCGAACAAAACTAACCCAAACAGACAAAGGAACAGGGGTGTTTAAATACTTGAAGACCAACTAAAGCTGAACACAAGAGCGAGGAATCAGAAGTCAAATTATTATTATAATACAGGAAATAATAAGTAATCTCGACGGTCTTCCATCCGACACTCCAATAAAACAAAAAGAAGAAGTGTAAGTAAATAATACAGACTTACATTGACTAAAATGTGTGCACTCAAATTAGAATATAAGTCTAAATAAAGGAATTAAATTATGTGTAATGTAATTAACTTAATGTAAATGAAATGAAATTAAATAATACTGACACTGACATGGAGTGGTGGCAGAGGTGTCCCCTAAAGTACAGTGTTACCATTAATTCAATATAAAACACTCCACATAGACACAAAGGTGCTTTTATTATGTTATTGTTGTTGTATTTACATTTTTGAATTCAAGCCACCCACTATTGAAGTTTATAGCTATAATAAAACTAAAAATGATGCATGTGGAGCGTGCTGGACATTTGTGCATTTGTACTTTTGCAGACTGTTACAAGTCAAGTCCTGCTGCGACACTTTATGGATGTGCAAAGACTCTCCTTATTTACAGTAACGAGAGTATTGATAATAAACTACTTTGCACTCTGGATAAAGATTGCAATGTGTTGAACTTCCCCAGACTTATACCCAGATCCCAATAATAGACAGATACTAATGTTTTTTTTTTTTATTCTTTTATTTTGCATTCCGTACACAAAGCACATTTTCGTATGCGTTTTTAGTTGAGGGCAATAGTTTTAAAGATCCATTCCGTGTATTTGGAAACATCTACAAACACGTTGGGAGCTTCGTTTTGGTAGGTACAGTTGCCCCTTCTATTGAAAGATACAATTCCCACTAGAGTATTGTTGCACACTAGGGGACCTCCAGAATCACCCTAAAAGCACAGAGTCATTTAATCCACAATCATTTTCAATGGGTTTAAATTATTTTCACATTTTCTTACCTGACAAAATCCTTTCATGGTGTTGTATCCTCCAGCACAGATGATGTTGTCTGGGAGGTGACCCCACACCTCCTTACAGGTTTTCTTGTCTATGATGGACACGTTAGTGGCCCTCAGCTCGTTGACATTTACACCGTTTGTGTGTGTTGCTCCCCATCCTGCGACCTGGCACAAATCATGTGCCTTGATATGCATATTCTCAGTTGGGAAATGTATTTTATTCACACCGTTTCCCTCAGAGCTTTTGTTCAGCTGAAAAAGAAACATATATTATTCTTATATTCAATTCTTCAGTATTTTTTTTACTCAGGGAATAGTATTTTGTATTGCAGGACTAAACCAGGACTAAAACCAGATCTAAACTAGATCTAAACCAGATCTAAACCAGGTCTAAACCAGGACTAAAACCAGGTCTAAACTAGATCTAAACTAGATCTAAATCAGGACTAAACCAGGACTGAAACCAGGTCTAAACCAGGATTTATAGGACTAAACTATGCTGCCCTTATTAATGTCTAATTCCACATAAGCTTATTCTGCTATTAGTTAGACATTGAGAAAAGTCTTTGCTGTACATACTTTTAGCAGCATCAAGTCATTCCCAAGGTCCACACCGCTATACGAATCATTCTTGAAAATCTTGTCAATATCGATAGTTTGTCCATTATTAGATTTTTTGAGGTTGTGGCTACCCAGGACTACACGGACAGGTTGACTAGGGAAGAGACACAAGTTGAAAAGTAAACCCACAACAGCAAAATACTGCACTTTAAGAGATTTGTACATACGCATTAAAACAGTGAGCTGCAGTGAGGACAAACTTGTCACTCACTAAGACGCCGCCACACACATGACGACCATAGACGTTCTGCAGTGAAGCCATGTACTGCATCTCGTCACTTGGGACAATGCTTCCATTTACTATGGCGCTCCCAGTCACTGCAAAGAAACAAGTGCTATTATCAAATGTAAAGCAGCACCGTTTGTAAAATCTGATGAAAAACAAAACAAAACAAAACAGAAAGTTAAGTTTGCTATAACTATTGCCACATTTCTACTTCTATTGCAGCAGGTACTGGAGCGATACATCTGAGAGCCACAGTTTCTGCCAGCGCTACTTCTATGACTTGTTTAAATGTTTAAAATGTGAATTAGAGTTACTTAAACCAGGGACTCACCAGTCTGCTGTAAACAGGAGAGAAGGAGAAACACGGCAATCATTTGTCCAGGTTGCATCTTCACTGACAAATGTGTGTGTGTGAGGAAACTGTGACACTTTTGTACTGTCTCAAGTGTGGGAGATTTTTATCACTTGGTCACCACGCCTGATATAATCTCTATTTCGCAGAATGCAATGCAAAAAAGCAAAAAAGCCAATGTTGCATAAAAAAATAACTGATGTGAAAAAGCTCCCTTTTGCGCCAGCTCTTCCATATATTAAATATCTATACTTATGGTTTCCCAGCATGAGTGTCCCCCAAAAATGCATTACTTAATACATCTTTTAAAACAAAATGCACGATTTAATTCATGTTTCAATACAAAAATACATTAATTAATACATTTTTAAAAACAAAAATGCATGATTTAATACATGTTTCAATACAAAATGCACTACTTAATACATTTATTACCCAACTTGCATTTACTTCAGACAAATAAACTGTGATTTGTGTTTTTTTGCTTTTTTAAATTTATTTTTTTAACCAGTTTTCCACTGATTTAATAATGTCTCTACTATTTCTTCATTTGTGCACATATTTTTAATGACCTAACAAAGCTCAGAAGCCCTCAGGTTGAGAAGAATATAAGAATGTGATAAATGATTTTGTTTATTTTTGTGGTGTTTACATCAAACATTTTTTTTTTTCATTTAATTGTTTCTTTTATCCAGGCAAGATATTTTGAAATGTCAACAAACACATTAGGTACAATCTTCTTTTCAAATGTACTGAAAGATAGAAGTCCAACTGCAGTGTCGTTGCACACCAAAGGGCCACCAAAGTCACCCTAAAACATAAACACCCTAAGCACTGCCTCGCTTAATACATGAGATTTGACCATTTTCTGACTTTTTCTTACCTCGAGAAATCTTCTTTCCACTGGGGATTCTCCAGCACAGATGACATTGTGTGGAAGGCGAGACCATTGCTTCTTACACGTGGTTGTGTCTATAATGGACACATTGGTGACCATTAAGTTTTTAACCACTGTACCACCTACCTCTTTTGCTCCCCATCCTGCAACCTGACACGAATCATGTGCTTTGACTTGCATGTCCGCATTTGGAAGTTGTATTGTCCGTATGCTTTTCCCCAGCTTAACTTTATTCTTTAACTAGAAAAGTTAAAGTACAAATATAAGTAATTCATTTTCAGTTCTGTTAAGTGTGTGAGTTTGTTCATACTTTAAGCAGCAGCAGGTCATTTTCATACGGCTTGTTTTTAAAAGACAGGTGCCGGACCGTACGCTCAATTTTAAACTCTTGTCCATTATCCCTGCTATGGTTGCCCAATTTAACGTAGCGTGGCTTACTAAATCAGAGGTACAAGTTAGAAAAATAAGACACAGTTACATTTTCTGATGACTTGAGTTACATACTCTTCCAAACAGTGACCTGCAGTGAGCACAAAGCGATCGCTCACTAAGAAGCCCCCACACGCATGACCCATCAAATTCTCCACTGAGGCCATGTACTGCATCTCTCCAGCTGGAACTGCGTGTCCATTTACTATCACACTCCCAGTCACTGCAACAAAAGAAAGAAATTACATTGCAGAACTGTAATTTTTTTAAAAAGTGCACATACAAAGACCCACCAGTCTGCTGGAGAAATGTATGGAAGAGAAACACTGTGATGATTTGTGGCTGCAGCATCCTTCAGTGACTTTGGTAAGTAGAAACACTGCCACTTTTATACAGGCTCTAGTCAGTCACCGGGGAGATAATTATCAAACCAGAAGGTACACACTGTGCACGCTGAAACACACAAAATGTAAAGATAATCACGTTGCCAGAATATGCAAAATTCTTCTGTTAAAGTATGAAAGTATGGTTTTGTGAAAGATGAATGATACTTAAGTGGCTCTGATGTTATTTTGCTGAATGCTTTGAATAATGCAGTTATAATTTATATTATTTAAGTGTAAAAGTAGTTTTGTCCCACTTAAAGCTCGAACACTTGCGACACACTGTAAATGGATCAATTCAAAACTACCATAAAACCTGGCAGCCATTCCTCCTTTACTTTGAATCTTATTTTGAATCTGGATAAGTAGTGGCTCACTTGCTTTATGTAGTTCACTATAGTGACATAACATGCAGTAATGTTATTATTATTATTTATTTATTTATTTATTTTTTGTTTCTTTCATTTGGAATTGCCTGCTGTCTTGTTGTTGTTTTTGTGCTATGCTATGTTTATGTATGTTTAAACATTTATAAAAGTCAATAAAAAGAATTGAATAGTAAGTGTAAAAGTAGTTTTGTCGATACACAAATACCATGACATTACATAGAGTTGTGTGTGTGTGGACTCTTGGGTCATATGCATCATCACTTCTGTAAGCACTGTCATCAGTTGCTCAAAACCTTTCTGTTCACATTTATTTGGTAAAGAAAGCAGCGTTAAAAAAAGAATTGAGTGACATTTTATGTTTTACAAGAGAACACATGAGTCAACATTTTACCACTTTACGCATTTCCTGGATTTTGTTTGTGATAATACCAATCTGATTCTTTGAATTTGAAAGTGTGTCACTCAGATTGATATGAAATGATGCTGGAGAGATGCTGGAAGATAGTGGTTGTTATATTTTTAAGCCACACTCACCACAGTGTTTGCTTCTCAAAGTTGTCATCATTTTTTAAAACTTATCAGCTCTTTTTCGTGTGAAGTCTTATCAAAAGATCAAAGATGATGTTTGTGGAAAGTCTGCAATTGTGGACATATCACATAGTTAACTGCATATTATTTATTTATGTATGCATAATATTTATTTATTTATTTACTTTTTTTTTCATTTATTCATTCATTTACTGGAGTTTTTTTCATCAGGTTCATAAAACAGAAGTGGTGCATTTATATGTTTTCTTGAGGATTAGTAATGTTTTTATTGCTCTCTTAAATAATGATCTGCCTATTACTTGATAGGTCGGTGATTTTACCACTGTGCCCCAACACATACTGTCCCAAAGCCTCACATCACAACACCAATGTGTGAGAGAAACTTCTTTAATAAAGCTCCAAATACATATTATTATTACATTATTATTATTATTTTGTTATAAATGTGACCACATTTAATCTTGTGACTTGAGTTGAGTCATTTGCTGCATCAGGTCGTTTCCAAATTAATGAAATGTACAATCTTCAGAAGTGACAGAGATTAAAAATTCCTAAAACAATGTTAAAAAGGTTCTCAGACTGGTTTGAATTATCAACACATTTCTTCTCCCAAAAAACTTGATGCTCTTATATCATGAGACATTCTTCCATATAAACATTTTGGTGCAATTATTACACAAAAAAGTGACTGTTGCAACACTGTTTTATTATAATTGTTTTGCTGTTTTGCAGTGTAGATGCAGTATAATCGGATACTAAACTAAACAAGCCTGAACCAACTATCCAACCAAGTATTTAACAGTCCCCTCTGTTCAAAATGTCATTGATCCAGGAAAGAAAGTCAGAAATATCATTGGGGAAAATATTTCTCTTACTAAATGAACAATTTCCTCTCAAGTTGAAGGACACAGTGCCGACTGGAACACCTCTGCACGCCAGAAGACCACCTGAGTCACACTAAAAGCAGAAGAAATGTGTTTAATTTTTAATGTTTTATTTTGTTAATGACTTGGTCGTGTTAGCTCTGCCTGCGCTTTACCCCATCTCCTCCTACAGGCGTCCTCGGGGAAGATCTTGAGCGTTACTTTCTTCAAGTCATTCACAACTTTACCGTGGCGGACCTCATAACATCATCCTGCAACCTCACAAGGCGTTGGTCTGCCTGAGGTTTAACTGGACTTTTTGGAAGATCAATGACCTTGACTTTAGCGCCTGGAGCAGTTCGAGAAAATATTGAGGTTTAGGTTTAACTTTTACAGTAAAATTACAGTTCAACATTAAGGAAAACGGCTCATTTACAGATTTTCCTAATCGTAAAAATTCGTTTGGCACATGGTTAAGCCTGATTGGTGTTTTGTTTATCCACTGTTGACACTATACTTTATTTAAAAACACACATCTTGAGAATGTTAAGAAGCATCATATCATTCCCCGAAGAGGTTTCCACAAAGTTTTGATGCTTGCACTTTTTCAACACATTATATCTCGTATCATTAGTGGCAGAGATGAGGTAGTGTGGTCCAAGAACCACACTTAAAACCTTTCATTTCAAAGCTTATATTAAAGTTTTGCGTCTATGTCACAAAACCATGTGACCTGGTGTTATCGGGAACAGATGTGATGGCTCGGTGATCAACAAAGATCTGTTGCATCCCGCTACAAAATATTTATATGCTTCTAACCATGTGTAGCTTTTCACTTCTTGGTTGGTGTAGGACGACATCAAATGAATTAAGTAGTTGTAAATATCTGGATACTAAAGGGCACAGAGTCAGCGTTGATTAGACTGACAAAGCTCTCCATCGGAATTAGATTGGGGTCTATTCCACAACCCAAGAGGATGACTTTAGCTTTATACCTTTCTAATAACGGCTGATCTAAGAAGCTGGCAATTTCAGACAGTTTTATGTCATGTTATTGCCATGATTACATTGAAATAAACTGAGTAATCCCAGTCTTGACCTCCAGTATGGCCGCCAAAACATTAAATCACGCGACTGCCACGTCACATGCAAATCCTTAATATAGTCCATTGTAATAAATAAATGGCTGAAGATGCAACAATTTACCTCTCACAGTGAGCAGCAGTTACCACAAAGTCGTCACTGAGCAGGAAGCCTCTAAACAAGTGCCCGCTGTTGTCTTGCAGAGATGTACAACACTGAGTTGTCTGAGACCTTGTGGCCTTGTGTGATCTTAGCCCCATGTTCTGAATAAAGAAGGATAAACTTATACATTGTAAGTGGCTTGTCTGTGTTTGACTTCAGTAGAAGCCGCCCTCAGCAGAAGCTTGTGATAGGGAGGCCTGGTGCTTGTAAACTGTCGACTGAGTGGTCCCTTATACGCAGATGTAACTGTGAGTCATAACTGATCTGCATCTGACCCACAGTAAGTCTCTATATTACGTCTGTTTTTATAGAGAAACCAACTATGTTCTTGATTTGGAACAGCAGTCTTTGCATTTGGATCTTGTCTAAAATGTTAATTCTATGTAATATAGAAAAAAAAACGTGCTCGACATAACTTTTCTGGTGGAGGGTCTGTGTGTTTCCTGGAGATGTTATTGCTTTTGCAGAAGTTTTATTGCCAAAAATGCTTGGCCTCGTGGTGCCACCTGTGTTCGTGTAGATACTTAAGTTAGATACTATAACGTTGAACCTTCAAGGCAAAGCAATAACACGGAGACAAGAAGGTGGGAGATCCAGAATAGTTACATAGTTCACTTTAAATGATCTAAGCATCCTTTTTTAAGTTCAGTCTTTTTTGTCTGTGGTTGGTTGAGAATGCATGTGAGAATTTTTCATGATCTTAATAGATACTTGCCAAACACTCCTTTAAAGAAAAAAAGTAAAATAGTAACAACTAATTCAATGTGTATGGATTTTTAAATAGAAAATTAGTGGTACTGTGTGAATTCCTTTTTAGACTCGCAGTATACATATAGAATATACACGTGGAATTATGGCAGAAAGCTTTATTTATGTATAATCTCGTGTGTCATAATCATCCAAGCACATTTGAATTAGTTCAGCCTCATTTATCTGTACCTAGTCTTGTGTATTTTAGTGTGAGTTTGGCTGTGTGTGTACTTGTGGGTGAGACACTGAGCATGTGAGATTGTTTATACTGACTGTAAAGTGCTTTGTGGTGCATTTTTGTATGAAAAGCTTGATTTGATAAAAGAGATTTTGAAATAAGTTGACCGATAGCTGAACAGAGCTGTTAACTAGTGAACATTCATGATTGTGAGACCAGAACTGCGATTCTCACTCTTACTGTGCACTTCTGTGTACTTTGGTTGTATTCTCACAATGAATGAAGTGACCACATTCTTTGAAACACATGCAAAAATGAAACCTTTGCAGTCAGTGTGGTTTTCCATCACCACTTTTACATTTTCTTTAGTCTGAAGTCTGGTTCATATCTGAGTCCCTAATAACATTTTAGTCTGTTGTTTCACATCTTATTTATTTATTTAAGTCGGTCACAGGTATATTTTGACATTAATTCACAGACAGTCATATTTAACATACACTGACCGAAAAGGTGTAGGCTGAAGCTTAAGCTTATTATGCCGACCCTTTATTCCTTTGTCAGCGCGTCATCGTAACACCAATTCATCTTCATAAATACAGCAAGAGGAAACAAACAAATCAGTAACAGTACAACAAAGTACTACAGCACAAACTAAGTCTCATAATTCATGCATCTGTCCAGAGTTAAACATTTAAACTTCTTTATAAAGTGAAAGAGACTGGTGCACAATTTTAGGTTTTCTGTACATTTGTTCCAGAGCTCCACCCCTTTAACATATAAACAAAATTTCATAATGTTTGTTCTGATTTTCTTTTTGATAAACATGGCCGTACCTCTGAGCTCATATTGTCTCTTTTGGATTTTGAACATGTTCTGTAACAACATCTGTCCCAGTTTCTAATCTCTGGACTAATCTTGCACCTCTTGAATTAAAAGTGTTTTTGACTAGTTGCACCAGAAGCATTGAAAGATGGATTCTAATGCAAAGGACAAATTGACTGTCTATGGAAACACAATGTTGAATTAGTTCTATAAAACCTGATAAATAACCTAAATATACCGGTGTATGTAATGTGCACTGACTCATGTGAAGCCCGCAGATTGATTATGATTATGGCAGTGCACAAAAAAAAAAAAAAAAAAAAAACACAGCAAAGAAGAGAAGAAAAAGCAGAAGAAAAGCACTGGTTAATGATTGGCTGCAGGTGCTTGGGGTTTAGGTAGTGACAATACAGATCAGAGAGCGTCCTTTTGAAACATAAATGACACTCATGTGATGCTTATTCTGCTCTCTGATTGGACGATTGGCTCTTGAGAAACAAAAATACAAAATTATAACATAAACAACTTAACGTTCAGGTCTAATGTTTTATATTTAAGAATAAATCAACATATTATTAGTAAAACCCAGATTTGATTGAAGGATGTTTAAAGCATATCTGAGGAATAAAAAAAATCTTACACACATTTACAAATCGATTTTTCTATCATGTAACTTGTTGAGACTCGTCACTGATTCCCGATTAATCTGCAGACATCGCTTTACTGATGTTTGTTGTGTACATATCATGAGTATTCGTTTAAGGAGTAGCCCGAAACAGGATGGACCAGTCGGACTTGATGCCTCTGCTGCTCCGAATGACCGTCTAGTCTCATGCTGTATTCTGAAACTCCAGTGAGGTCCAAAAAAACGTCAAAACAACAACAACACACCACTTTCACAGACAAGGGGAAGGGTCTCGCCAAAGGACACAACAACAATATGTAAAATATGTCACTTCCGCCGCACTTTGACATCTGATATCCCCAGTGGTGTCTCTCATCCCAGTACTAACCGGGCCCAACCCTGCTTAGCTTCCAAGAACAGCTGAGATTCCAGTGGTACGACAGCAAAATATGACAAATTATACAGAAAAAAGTTATGGATACACGTGTTAAATATTTTTCAGCCACAGTCTTACAGCCAGCCAACATAGATTTCAAAACATAGCCCTATAATTACGAAATGAATTATTGATAAATGCAGTTCTAAACCGGTTCTGCAGGTATAAGATGTAGAAGTATTTCAAAACATTTTCCATGAATTAAATGTAATCTTACAAGATTCTAAGAACATGAATGGTTAAAGGAAGACATGAGGAAGTACATTTTCAGCTTGAAAAAACAATTGCATTAAACATAATTATCAAGGGAACACATTTGACGATACTAAACACAATCCACAACCAAGACCCCTCTGGAAAATGAGGATAATTATATTAAAAAGGAAAAAAAAGGAGAGAAAGTTTTGCATATGGAGCCTCAAGGTAGGAAATGTACTGGGTAGTGACTTCAGGTTTTAACCATAAAATTCAAAGCAGATCTGCCACACCCAGTTTGGTTAACGCTTGCTGTAAACCAGGGGTCTCCAACCTTTTTCCTGCAGTGAGCTCCTTTACAAATCAAAAATGTCAAAGTGCTACGAGTAAATAAGTAAATATAAGAGCCACAGCAAGTTTTAGACAGGGCCCATTATGAATCAATATCCAGTTATTAGTGCATAAAGTTATAGGCATCAAAATTACACACACTTGCAATGGTAATAGATGTTTAATTAATGGCATTTGTTTTTCAGAACAACATATGTAATTCTGAAATCTCTTGGTGAGCAACTTGGAAGCTCCCGAGACCCCTAAAAATTGTTTCCATGTTACAAATAGAACATTTTTAGTTCAAGTTTTCTGTTGAATTTTTAATCCTAAACAAAAATGGTTCCCAGTCACAGCTACTTCTCTTGCCTGGTGGCTCCTCCCCCTGTGCACCTGCTGTATTTTTCCACCCACAACAATAAAAGGGAACTGCTTGAACACAAACTGACAGTTAATACCAGTGTTTGTCTTTTAGAACACTTTTATTAAAAACATTTCAACAAAAACACACGATAGGTAAGAAACTGTACAGTCTAGAGCATGGTTCAAAACAAAATCTGTTACATTTAAAAGCACAGTTCTTTATGGCATTTAAGGGTATAACGGGTGTTGGTTTTAAGAATTTTTACAATTCATAAATAAAATGGCTTAACGAGATAGCGACACATACATTAAAAAGCCTGGAGTTGATTGTCCCTTTTCCATTTGCAATTCTCAAGTAAAAATGTGGCACGTTCCCACATCATTCAGTAATGTACAATATCTGTCGATTTAGTATTTACATGTTTTCCATCTCCCGTTGCTGGGCTTTGTTGTACTTGCCCCTGCGCCTGTTGGCAAAGAACTACAAGGGGGAAAAAAAAGAAAAGAAACTCACATTAGTACTGAATGAAAAACTTATTTAGTCAAGTAAAACAAGATACATTTTGGACTGTCCTATTTAACTTAAGTTCAAAATAAAAGTCAATAATAATATGTGCAGTAGTATATAATTTTATTATTTTTATTATACTATTTTTTATTATAATTTATTAATTTTATTATTTTTTATTATTATTATTATAATATAGTATTAAAGTACTAGGTAAAGGTTTTGACACACCCAATCAAAACTTCTGCTTTCTAATGTGGTAGAAATGTCCTTTTGATTGTGTATGACTAAGAATAATTAACTCAACAATTAGGTGGCACAATGTAACTTTCCACCTTGCCATAGAGATGTTATTCTTTGCCTGGAATATTCCACAGTATAGCATTAACTTAACCCCCGCTCACAATGGTTTTAGGCGTTTTTCCAACAATAAACGGTTACTGAAAAAAATACTCTCGAGCATTCCAGGCAAAACTAATGCTCGATAGAGACAAACACGTGAAAGTTACACAGCGGAGTCTTAAAATTTGAAACCAGAACTTACCAGGACCAGCAGACCAGCCACGACAGCCAGGACGACCACCACGATGACGGCGATGACGCCTCCGGACAGATTCTTCATGGTGAAAGTGGGGGCTTTCTCGTCCACGTAGTAAACCAGAATGTCCTCGAACTCCAGCTTCTGACCTCCGACTGTCGGGCTGAAGGGGTCCTGGCTTCTCAGCAGGGGCAGAACCTTGACCTATAAACACAGATAGACATGCACAACGTTAGATGTGGCCTTCATTTTTTAATTATTTTTAAGACTTTGTAAATAATAGAAGGGACATTCTTAGCGTTTCTGTTTAAAATATACCCAATCTTGTCGTTATGCACTTTGATATTCACATTTAATTCAGATTTCTATTATTATGAGACTAGTAGGTAGATGCTTGACACTTGTCCATGAAAGCAAATAACTTCAAGTAGCAATGAAACGTACATCTTTCTCCATGTAGTAGGCCATGTGAGTCAGGTCGCTCTTGCGCTCTCCCTTTGGCTGCTCGATATCCACGACCAGCAGGCGAGCTTTAGGGTCATACTAAAAATGAGGAAAACAAAATGAAATATTAGTTTAACTACAGGTAACGTATGATTTGTTTCCATTTTAGGTAAATCTGTTTCATGAAATTGAACAGTATAGACAGACACACCTTCCCTTTAAATGGCTACGGAAGGGAGTGGCCTATTCACGCATTTCAGCTTTGTGTTATGTGACATTTTAAGGATTTTTCAACATTCAAACCTATGGATACCTTTTGATTCATAGGAAATACCAAATAAAAAGAGACACTCACCTCAACGTTCTTGACAAGGTCTTTGTTGAAGTTCACGTAACGCTTGTGAATGGCATCTGCAATAGCGCTGCAAAAAAGTAGTAAAAGTGTAATGAATATACTGCTTACATAAGAGGATATAAAAAATGTCATGAGCCAAGACTATGACAGTTATATAGCGTTATCAAAACTTGAGAGGATCGGTAAAATTTACTTAAACTTTACTTACGATTTCAAGTTGGCAGCGTCGACCTTTCCAGAAATTTCTTTGTGTTTCAGCTGAATACGCACCCAGCTACAAAGAAAAGACAAGTGTTAGGGATGTGAATCAACACAATTTCACAAAAATCTGAAGTAAAATGAAGCCACTTCTGTTTCCCGAAAGCAAAATGTACAAACTTCCACATATCATTTTATTGAGGCCTATCAGCTATGCAGCAAAACATGACCATAAATCAAATAGATTTTATAGTATGTAGGCTATATTTTTAAGAAGAACCCATCTTTTCCTGTTGGCTCATTTATTTTATCTGTAATCCTGGCTATTTTCCTCCATATTTGTATAAAAGTTAACTACACTTTGGCATTTTTCATGTAATTTCTTTCACGTGATTATATAATGGTTACTAGAGCTTCCCCCTATTGCTTGTTAGGCAATATCCCGCTTTTAAACTCTTATTTTATCTTCTCTATGTGAACAATGCATGGTTAATTGAACCATCCGGAACCAAATGTCCACACCCACTTCTGTACTCTATTCTACTGGCTTCATCCAAACTTACTATGTCATCACCAGCTCCTCGCACTTCAGATCTCTGTCTCCTTTGTCGGTTCTGCGGACTCCGGCGCTGTTGACGCACCAGCATGTCTCTGTGTTGTTGCACTGCTTGGCCTTGAATGTACCGTCTCTCTCGCACTCGGGGTCGTAGATGCCATCGTTGTCGACGAACGCGGTTTCGACGGGTTTTCCTCCAAGCGTACGGGTGCTCAGGCCTTTCCTGGCTCTGTACATCTCAGTCTGCATCAGGAAGCACTTGGGGATCACTGAAATGAAAACACAAATATATACACACATCAACAATTGTTCATGTGTGAAGTAGAAGTGGCAAGTAATGGTGTCTCGCTTACATTTAGCGCAGTCCAGAACTTGTTTAGTGCCATTTCCAACAAGTAGGTGGCATGAGCACGGGTTTCCATCACATGTAGCCCATTTCATAGTTTCACAAGAGCCTAAAATAAAAAAACAACAACAACAGGTTACAATTCGTTAAGCATGTATTCAAGTTTCGAACAAGGCATCTATAAATACGAGATAAGCCTATAGTAGATTGAAGAAAACGGAATGATTGGGTCAATGACATTAAAAAGCACGATAAGAAGGGACAAAGGGGTTAGTTTCGTAGGTTTATAGCAGTAGAGGCCTATAAAACTGAGTGGCCCGAGCGCTACAGGTAGACGAGCAGGGTCATTTTACACCTGGGCGTTGGTTAGTCAAACAAGTCCCCAGGAAAGCGGGACAAATTCACCCCACCCCCACCGCCTCAACTGCCAACTGAGCTGCGCAATTACCGTGGCAAATGTTATGCAAATATAAATGAGTTAAAATCACACTTTGTATCGCAGCTTTATCGCGACAGTACTCGAAGTTACTTTTCAGCAAACGCGCAATCTGGAGCACGGTGGTAAAAAGGGAGTTTCGTGCGTAAAAAGTTGGATAAGAAGAAGAAAGGGAGTGCTCCATGGCGTCTATTGAAATACATGAAAGACTGCCAAGTTACAGGTGCGTGAGGGGCAGAAGCAGGTCTAAAAGCGTGTAATCCGAGAGAAAAATGTCGAAAATGGTACTTACATTGAGCATATGCGCCAGCCGCTAGGGTAGCGACGATAAAGGCTATCAAAATCTTCATGTTGAGATTAAAAAAAAGTGTAGCCAACTAATTCCCAAACGAAGAGCTTAAATCTGTCCGCACGTCGTCCTCTGAGTCCGAAATAAAACAGGCGAAGTACACAAGCTTCCTTTTTCTTTCCGTAGGTGTGTCCTGGTCAAACCTGTTTGAGGAGAAACTCGGCGGGGGCGCGCACAAAGGTAAGGCCTCTCACGAGAACGCGCTGAGTAAAGGTGAGGCTTTAGGTCGGTTTGTAAGTTCCTCTTTGTTTGTCACTGCCAAACTGAAGAGTGCAGGTTATCAAGTAATTTATAAAGTCAGGTACTCTCATGACGTCACGCTCATTTACATAGAGTCGATACGTACGAAGGGGGGCTGTGCGTCATGCGTAATGTGGGTTCCGCCATGACCAAATATGGAGAGCCGCTCCCTTTTTTTTTTTTCGTTCTTGTTATTTTCCCACAGGTGATACAGGAAGACTTGCTACACAAGTATTTTCATGTTTTTTCACACATTATTGAACAGATCTAACGTGAGAACAAGCCTCACTCTTGTAATCGACACATAATTAATATAGAAATAAAACGATTCATTTACAAGTAAGACTGTTGCTTTGGAACTCTTGTAGTTTGATTGGAATAGGTGGATTAAAGAAGAATCACATTGGCCTGGGGTTTAGTAACACAGTGTGTTGGTGTTTTGCATACTATGTGATGATGTCATTCTGCCAAAAGGGGGAAGAGCCAGTTTCCCACATGGATACTGTTGTTATAAGAAATATCCAGATGGAAAATGCATAAATGTTGAATTTGATAAATTATTCTAGTGACCATGCCTTTGATTTGAGTTTAAATTATATAAAGTAATAATTTTACCTGCCCTCCAGCCCTAACAATACTGTAGCCCCATAAAGTTATGATGTAATCTGAAAACCAGCAAGTTGACCAGGTCATAGTAAAGTTTCCTGAAAGTTAACTAAAGTTTGTTTATTTTTATACCATATCAGGTTATAATTAAATATACACTGATAGCCTATCTACAAAAGCACATAGTGAGAATAATATGACTTATCAAATACAGTTGATACAGCAAAGATAAAGCATTTGTACATTGTTCTTAATATTAATTTACATTTGGTATGTTGGTGTTATAAAATATGACCTGGGATAAACATATTTATATATGGACTATTTCTTCAGGCTGTTGACCAATACTGGCTTAAATATTTTGGAAAATTGATGTCACAATAGTTGTGCAATGGCTTTCAATATGATTAAGTTGAATGAATTGCTTCAACTCCTTTTAAAGGAATCTGCACTTATTGTTTTGTCACCTTTTTTTCTTTGCGACTTCAAGTAAAAAAAAATAAAAAAAAAAAATCAAAGTCAAAGTTTGCCAACTTTACTGTAATCTAGGGATATTACATTTATTTTACACAACTATTCCTTATATTTTGCATACTGTTACCAGTACACAGTTAAATTGAAACTTCAGCTTCGACCTTCCATCAGATAAAATATGCAGTTCACCTTAAAGTACCTTAATTACTTTGTCAGACATGATCATAATTTTCCAAATATTCTAGCAGGGGTGCCCAGACTTGTTGGGCAAAAGTACACATTAGTGAGCCTAGCGCCAAACCTATCAATATTTTTGACATATTATTTTTGTATTCAAAGCTACTATGATTGAATAGATTAGATTTCTGATTCTTCCGTTCGAGTGGATCAATTAGTTTGGATTTCCTTTTATCTTTTTACACTCTTTACAGCACTAAATTTAATCAAAGTACTGTAGATACTTCTTAAACATCTTAGAATCCTCTCACAGCCCAAATTATCCAACCAGAGCTCCCTAGTGACTATTGTTCATATTCAGTTTGTGTATCTATCTGTCAGAAGATTACTCCTTGGATATTGTAAACATTAGTTAATAAGTTTCACCTTGATCGTCCCGCTCGGTGACATCATCATAAGGAGACGAACCGAAACCTGTCAGGAGTTTGTTGTGAGTCACAGCAGGTCGCCGCTGCTGACTCAGAGCTCTCAGACAACGCTTAAAATAACCACAGTTTCAGTGACAAACTACCTGATATGTACAAATTCACACACAGAGGTTGTCTTCTATAAAATAATATTGGAAAAGATATTTTTAAGATATACTCAAAGCTGCAAAAAGATGTTAATGAGTCAGTAAGATTCAGATTGAAATAGGCCTGACATGATAAGTATTATACCCGACTTATTTTTTAATACATTTGGTTATTTTTGGCTTTATGATAAGATTTGAGCTGTAGAAGGTTGAATTAATAACTTCTATGACTCATTACAGATCCAAACTAACTTGGGTTTAAGAACTAGAGTGTTTCAGGGATTTTTTTTTTTACACAATATTTTACATTTACAATAGATTTTGTGGTTTAAATTGGGTTTTCTTGGGTTTTCAATGACATAAATTAGTTTCAGTTAATATTATCGTTTATCATCTGTATTTACTTCAACAATATTTTGCATTTTCAAACTTAATGTGACAAGCCAAGATTCAGAAAAATTTAGCTATCCCCATTTCCCAAGGACTCTTCATCAATTTAATATGTCCTGGCATGTTTTGCACTGATAATTACCACAAACACTTTATGATTGCTGTTATTGAAATCATGAATGAAATCGCGTTCACATGTCACAGCATTTAAACATTGATTTATGCTCCCTTGTGTGAATCTGTCTATTTTCACCAAATCTCTTCACTACTTTTAGGACATTAATAAAGATTAGATTATAATCCGTTATACCAGTCCACTGTCCAACTTGTTTTGGCAGTGAAAAAGTTCTGTTTAGTTTTCTCTGTTCTCTGTATATTGGAATACTGTGTACTAGTGATGTTAAAAAAGAGTGTTAATTCATTATTTGATTAATGTAGTTGTGTGTTTTTAATTTATCAAGACATGTATTTTATTGTTAAGTTCAAACAAAGACCACAAGAGGGAGAGAACCAAATCAAAGAGACTAGACCAAATCAAAGAGACTATCAAAGAGACTAGACTAGAAGAATACTACTACGCTCTATTCCCTCGTGGGTGTTTATGTGTCTTTACTGCTCCCTGCTGGCACTGTTTGTTATAAAAAAAATTTGTAAGAGGAAAACAAGCCTGGCTAAGACCAAGGTAGAGCTGCTCGATTACAGAAAAAAATTATTATCGTGATTATTTTGGTCAATATTGAAATCACAATTATTCAAACGATTATTTTTTTTAGTTACACGATGCATTTATTCAACATTTCTCTCCCAACAAACAAACAAAAAAACCCACATTGAACCTAAATAAAATAAAATAAATAAATATAGGCTACAAATGTGTACCTCGTTTTTACACAGTTTTGCGATGTCTAAAACATAAAATGAATACAATTTTGAGCATGAAATAAGACACAGAAAAACATAAATGTATCCAAAATAAACTATGTGTCCAGCTGTTCTACAATCTCTATATTTAAAAAATAAAAATATATACTTATTTATATTAAAAAATATCCCAAAATAAACTCTGTTAAGCGAGATCGTTTCAATTCGATTATATGAGTTTGGAGATTGTTTGACACAGAAATCGAAATCGCGATCAAAATTCTATTAATTGCACAGCCTTAGACCAAGATTTAGTGACTATATATTGGTTTTACTTTCAGCAGACAACATTGTTAGTGAGATATATTCACTTTGACATATTTCTGTTGCTAGACCATTATCAGAACTGTCCAAACTAGCAGCCAAAACACGTCAAGGTAAATGCATCTCACTAACAAAGTTGTCCACCTAAAAGAAAACCAATATAACTATCATAAATGAAGACAAGATGAGTGTTACATAGTCTGGTCATACATTCAGCTTCATCCTCCTTTGTCCTACACATTATTCCATGTTTTAGACCTTTAAGCAGATAAAATAGCAAATAAATGATATTGCTGTAACAGGACACTGGCGCAGCAGTGTTGTGTAGAGCAGTCGTTTTAGCAGCAATGATCAATCGACTAACTGTGACTAGTAGTAGAGCAGAGTATAATAAAGTATATATAGTAATAATAATAAAAATACTGTCATATGTTGGTAATCATAATCTTTATCTAGATCAGGGGTCACCAAACTTTTTTCTCTGGGGGCCACATTATCGCTCCTGACTGTGATGGGGGGCCGGGGTCGGTTCGGCCGTATTACAGAACTGAACGAACCTAAAGATGCAGATAAGATTCTTTGAAAACCGACACACTTTCTTTACATATCAGACAAACTGCGCGCGGTCCTTACGCTGAACAAAAAAAACAATTGGTCGTCCAGTGTTCTTTGAAAACTCGTCACTCTCTGTCAACTTTTCGTACTTTAAGCACTCGCCATTTTACTGTCCTTAAGCTGCACTACAGAACTCTGCACGTGCGTTTACTGTCACTGTTTGATCCTGAGCTTGTCAGGTGACGAAAATTTGACTGCAAATGTAAATACGTCATATAATTATTTAAATATAATATAAATACTTCATATAAATATAATTTTTTTAAATTGAAAAAACAACAAGATGCAGGCGTGTTATTATTTCCAAAAAGTAATAAAAAAAAAAATGCCATGACAATTTTTGAGGATTGCCTCTTAGGGCCAGTTCAAGTGGTAGGAGCAGAGGGGCTGGGGGCCGGTCAAAGGGGCTTGAAGGGTCGAAGTCGGCCCACGGGTCTTAGTTTAATGACCTCTGATCTAGACTACACAGACTCCAAAGACATTTTTATAACAAATACAGTTGCTTTATGAAATCAAATATCTGAAATTAATAAGCAATTTGTCATACTTTATTTGTAAATATCGGTTTTGAAGCCTCCAGTCATCATATTTCAACTTTTATTCGGTTGATAATGTTTTTTAAAAGTCTCAATGTACAATAGAACTAATTTTTATCTAGTCGACTAGTCACAAAAAGAAATCGCTTACTGGTTTAATATATGAATGGGCGCCAAGTTACTACTACTGCAAAAAAAAAAAAAAAAAAAAAAATTAAAAATAGGATCTTGAGGTCACCCTGTTTAAGAATCCTTGGTGTAGTTGAACCAGAAAAAATAGTGGTTCTGTTTCTGCTCAAGATCATACTATTGTTGTGTCCCGAGGCAGGACACTTTAGCCTCATTGATGTTATAGAGCATTGTCCAGAGAAGACACCACTAAAACAAAACACTACCACTGCTTCATTTCACCATCTAAGCCACTTTTTATATTTTTCTACTAAGACGAGTCCATTTCATGTGGTGTTATAAAATCTTGTGATCCAATTGAGTGTTTATATTATGCACCGGTCTGTTGTCCTGCGTGGAAAGGACAAACCAGGAGCGCCGGAGGGAAGAGCTTGGCTTATTGTCCTGTTTGGTGTCACCCAACGAGTGGATTTGGGTGTTCCCCTTCCCAGAGGTTTAAGATGTCATCGGCTGTGGTGAGGTGGCCCATTGTCCCCGTATGTTCTGGTCGGGAGGAGGGAGCTGGAAGGAGCGGAGGAAAAATCACGAAGGTCTCATTCGGGTTTGATAGAGGCAGCGGCAACGGGTGAACTGAAGGAGGCAGAGGCTTGTCCCCATCCAGGCTCCAGAAACCAGCCGGAAAACTGGGAAAATGTGGTAAGATAAATCATCTTTATCCACAAGAAAGATGTTTAGGTTTTGTATTTAGGGTCAATTTAAAGCTACACTGTGTTACTTTTCTACTGGAGTGTCTGTCACCTTATCCTCATGGTGATTTGGCTGGAATGTTTCATGGTATGGCATTAAACTGACCTTTCTAGCGTTTAATAAATTACCAGGAAAACGTATTGTCTCCAAGAAGAAATATAAGTTTAAAGCCATACTGTGGAATATTCTAGGCTGACATTAATCTCACAGGACAATTTCAGTCATGGTTATGAATGAGTATTGCTTTATTTAGAGCAATTCACAATTTGTTGGAAGTTCAATTAAGTTGAATTTATCTATTCCAGGCTTGTCCAAACTATGGTTCGTGGGCCAAATGCGGCCCTCAGACAAATTTTTCTTGGCCCTCGGGCTTCCAGGTGAATTGGCCCAAATTAGCTTGCATCAATAAAAAATTTACTTTTTACTGCAAGTTTTTTGAAAATCTCCCTTGGTAAAGCAAATATTTAATATTTAGTGTGTTTTTTTAAGGATCTTAGCATGAATAAAGGCTGATGGGTGATTCTAACGCGTTAAACATGCACATATTTTAATTATTGACTGTAATGAGCATAAGTCTACGGCCCTCGATCAACCCTCTGCTTTGTCTGTGTTTAGATATGTGGCCCTTGATGAAAAAAGTTTGGACTCCCCTGATCTATTCTATTAACACACAGTGGGAGCAGACAGCTGTTGGGTCATTGGGCAAGTCACTCCTATGTCAAGGACACGGTGTTAGGTGTGGTGATTATTAAAAAAATAGCTATATTAGCAAAAACAAGGTAATAAAAGTAAACAAAATACATAAAATAATTGATAAGATGCTTGATCACTACTTTTTTGAATGATTATAATATGAAGCATTCAGTGTGAGGGATGGGACGATAAAATTTACATAAGACAAGATGAAACACAAGATTGCGTCCATGAGATCAAGACGAGACTAAATTGTGTAGTTCAGTTCACAATTTGGGCCCTTACAATTTTGTATTTGTTTTGCTGTCATTCTAGCACTGCTTTTTGGAACTGTGGCTTCTCAAAATATTAACTCAGCAGCATTTCACCCATTTATGTCCAAACCAACCAATTATCTTACAAGATCATTTTCCTCCTGTGAGCACAATCTCATGACAATTTGATCTTACAAGATGGTACGAGATCTTGTCCCATCCCTATTCAGTGTAGTATTTGGCATCTTAAATTCCCCATTGATTGTAAAGGAGAAATTTAATTCTGTCAAGTGAAAAAAAGCTTTTTTGAGTGAAGACGTTGCGCAGCTCATCCAAGCCTTTGTTATGGATCCCACCTGGACGACTGAGGAATTACACAAACATCTCCTTTGATTTAACATTAGGCTAACTGGAAATTCTCTGGGATAAAGTGAAATTCCAGGAAACAGTGAATGATAATGTCAGATCATATCAAAGATACAATCTGTCACTGCCGGGACAGCCCCATATTTGTTACATTATGAAAGCTTTGGGATAGGTAATTTGACACAGGAAAATAACAACCTCCCTGATATCTTAATTTGTGTTATAAAACAATGAAGAACACAAACTGACAAACAACTAATTGTTGTATGTAAGTGTTGTAGGGTTGCAGGTTAAATTCCTGCCCCACCGGTTTACTCATTACAGGGCCCTTAAGTAAGACACAAAATCCTGATCTGGAGGAACAAAGTCAGGAGTCTTTATCCTTAAAGGTACAGTGTTAAGTGTGAAGAATCCCTCAGTCGTCCAGGTAGAATCCATGGCGAGGAGAAAATTCAGTTTGTTGACGGGACAAAAGTGAGTTTGGTTGAAGAAGCAGCTTAGATGAGCTGCGGAACGTCTTCAACCAAACTAACTTTTGTCCAGTCGTCAAACTGAATTTTCTCCTCGCGGTACAGTGTGTAACTTTTTGGAGTTGCATGATTACATGTTGAAATTACATACTGTGGCTTTAACTTTTGAGACTCGCTTCATTTATCAAAGGAGGTCTAAAGTAGCCCTAAAATAGCAAAAGAGGATATCATTTCATTTCACTCCAGTGACTAGATCAGGAATCAGAATAAACTAGACGGTTGGCAAGAACCCCGGAAGTGTGAGTTTGGGCACCAGCCACTAAACGAAGAGCCATACATTCTGTGTTGGCAACAATTCCCGAGATCAAGGATTTAAAACTGGAACAAAGAGAATGTTTGGTGAATTTTATCAAGGGGAAAGAGGTTATTGCCCTTCTTCCGGTGCATTACATACGTCACGACCAAATAGCAGCGATTGGCTAAGTGGAAAAAAAGTACCCGCCTACCGTCGAGTGAACGAATCCTAATGCTGCGAGGTCAGACGGTTTCTAGGAAGTTGTACACATTCCACCAAAAAGTTACATAGTGCTGCATTAACAATTAACAGCTAATTCAACCTGAAGAGACTCAGACTGACACAAAGAGAAAAGTATTAATAGTTTTATTGAATGAGTTACCTTTGGCAGTCAAACCCTGGCAGAAGACATGAAGGGCGTGGCCTGTTGGATGACGTTTAGGAGAGGACTTCCCCCGGTGTCTGGACACTGGAGGAGGTAGAGGTGAGGATGAGGAGAGTGAAGGGGGCAATGAGATGATGCGGCTGTATGTCTAAGGGTTTAAATTGGGCAGACTGGGCGCTGATTGGACGAGGAGGAGGTGCGGTGAGTGGCGTGGATGAGTGTTTGGAGTGAGGTGATGAAGGCTGAGGGCCAGGTAAGCTCCGGAGAAGCGGTGAGGTAGATGGAGGAGCAGTTAGGTTTTCTAGACTGAATTTATGGAAGTTTGTTTACTACATTTATTCTATTAACACTGCTTACTGCTCTTGTGTCACTGGGCAAGACACTCCTACGTCAATGGCCCAGGTGTCTGATTGGTGACGCCATAAGCTTCTTTAGACTGCTATGTTTCCTTCATTCTGTCTTGAGGTAGTTATGGCAATAGGATGAATTGTGATGACTTGTTGTGTCTAAATGTTTTTAATAAAATACATCAGAGTGCTTACAGATAGTAGGTATAACAAGGAAACAGTCAGAAGAAAAGAACGCAACAAATGTACTAACCATAAAAATGCAGTTATGGTAAGGGCGCACTTCAGATGTTTAACTCTATTGACAAGTTTGTCCCATGAGAAGCTTGGACGAGATTTACAGTAGCTGGTGCGTTCACTGACTGTAATAGGACTCAGATTCCCCAGCCTCACGTCAGTCGCGTTCCTCTCCTGAGATTACGACAAAAGCTTGGAGTTTCCATTTGCACTTTGCCATGGAAACATGATCACAACAAACCTGATGATGCATGTTGTGGAAGTCTGGCTCGCATTTTTTTCCGAAAGCTTCAGACACTAAATATATTAACACTATGAAATAATATCTTTAAATAGAGCTTTAAGAAATAAGTGATAACTATGATCTTCAGGATTACAATAATGGTATTATGTTCAATAATTTAAAACTTAAATGGTTGATTTGTTGTCAAAGTCACAACATACTTTCATTTGAAACAAGAAATTTCTGAAGTTGAATACATTGGTGTGGTTCTCAAACTTTTAACACTGCGTACGGACTTAGAATATATTTGGTCTTACATGTACCAGGTCTAAAGCCAGTCTAAAATAGGACTGTTAACCCTAACCTTAACTAACCAAGAGGAGGACAAAAATATGGATGAAATTGTGCAAATTGAAGGAGGCCTCATACCATCAGTGGTACATGTACCCCAGTTTGAGAAATACTGTATTAAAGCATTACAAATATTATCCTAAATATATGTCTCTGTACTTGAACCAACCACCATGAGTGTTATATAATCATGGGAAGGGGGAAGGCCAATATAAAAATGAAATCTTGAACCATCCAAGTCACAATTTCAATTCTTCTTCAATACTAGATTTCGAACTTGATAGACATGATACTATTTCTAATACCATGATAGTAAAAACACTCTTTATTTAAAAAAACAGAATGACATTTTCAAACAACACTTTCTTTTATATTACTGTAACTGGGTGAAAAACTGTAAATTGTGATGTAAATCCTGTTTGTATCTTTGGTCCTTTTTTGTTTGTTAATTGTAATACCTGTTTTCCCTGCACGGTGGTGCTGTAGTGCTGCATCCCTTTACGTGAACATTGAAAGATAACGGTCTCGTGCACTTGCGATTGAGAAAGCTTCAGAAAAGTTCTATGTTTTACTGAGAAAGATTTGTTTAGGCGACAGAAGTTCATACTCGACCATATCGCTAAGGAAATAGCAGTACAATGAGATAATGTGTGTTGTTTATGTGTTCTATGAATTAATAGTGGAATGTGTTTATTTTATAATATAATGCCCGTTGGCTAAGGAGGAACGAGAAATGAAGAAGCCCTAAATCTGAAGTACTTTGTGCTCTATATAATTCTGGCTTTATTACCATATGGCCTTATATCTGTATAATCCCTCGTTTGACCCATTATGTTCCATAGTGGTCTATGAGCATATATACTAGTCTATGTGCTCTTATACTTGTTTTGATATCGATCAGATCATTCTATAGCTATTCAGGAAAGGTTCAAATCTGTCCTGTGAATGTGGCTTTTTAAGTATCTATACTCTCTCTAGTTTCGATCCTAGTTTTAGTATCGATTAGTATCTCATTTTTTTGGCAGCTCTCTCGATTTATATTGCTTTAATTAAACTTCTCTGCTTCTTCTGAGAGTTCACACTCCACTGTGATTGGTTAAACCTTGCTGTCACTAACTCATTTCATGATAGAGACCAACCAGTATCAGGAAAAGGTGGGGAAAAGTGTCTGAGCATAAATGTATATGATGAAACAATATAACCATCATATATCAAAATTTCATATGGTCAACCTTATTTTACAAGTTCAGTCTTTTTAAATTTCAAATTAATAGACATTTGGCCTGTTCCAGTGTAATTAAAGTGCTCTAACTAGGTCATTTAGAGTAAAAATAATCACCGTAGTCCCTCTAACACGCTGCAAGACAAGAGGAGGCTGGTTGAGTGTTACCAGCTCATTTAGGTGACCAAGAAACAAAATCCTCCAAACTATTGTTAAGAAGGACATAGAATCACAATGAAAAGTCAAAATGGTAATATATACTCTATAAATAGGGCAAAAAACACTGCAGGAGCTAAGTTCAAGGTTTCAGGTGATTCTGGTCTACATAATCCCAGAACAAAGACTGAACTTTAAACGTGTATGTTACTTTTCTAGTAAGTACGTTGCCTGCTTCTCTTCAAGGAGATGCTTTACGTGGAATGTTCCTCAGTATGACATTAAACTTTTATTTAATTTAGTCTTTAAATGACATTCTGGAGATAAGCAGTTGCTGGACACTCCACCAGAAAAGTTACACAGTGGATCTTTCAAATGATTCAAATAACAAGAGAGGAAAAACAAGAAAAAGTATGTACGTATAGTTTAGTATATTTAACCGTGTTTTGTGTTTGTTTCCAGGTTTCTGCTCCTTTTCCTCTCTTGTCTAAGTCTATGTGAAGCAGGTAAGTCCTAATAATTATAACACTACATACACTACTATCTACTATTTAATGGTTTCCGTAAATTTTATTATCAACTAAAGACACACAACTTTACCGGGAGAGTGTACGCTATCTGGAGATTTTCAGCAGTATGGCATTAAAGGGACACTAGATAATATTAAGATATTATTAATTCAAAACATAAATTAGTTTGGGGTCAATTAAATGAAAGTCAAGAGAGCCAAGAGTGTGTGCCTGGTGTAGTGGATCAGTAGATCACAGGTTCCAACCTTAGAAGAGACACATGGTACTCTGGGTACTGGTACAAGTTAAAAATACAAAAAACTAAATTTGATTAGCCAATCATTGTTACAATATACTACGGGTCTAAAGTTTTTCAGCACCATTTCCAGTTATTTATTGCAATTCAAGTCGTGCGAGTGTAATGAAGAGCTTGAAATGGTACAAAGGTAAGAACTGAACAGCCAGAGGTTAAAAAAAGATAAAAGATGCAAAACACAAGTCTAAGCTCTGCCAAAACTACCTCAGGAAAAAAGAACAAGATGATACAACTTGAAAACATGGAGTGTCCAGCACAGTCTCCAGACTTAAACCCCATCGAGCTGGTTTGGGATGAACTGGACAGAAAAGTGAAAGCCAAGAATCCTACAAGTTTCACACATTTATGGGAACTTCTACAACAGACTTGGGAAGAACTTTCTGAATAATATTTAATTTCTATTGTAAAAAGAACAAGCCACAAGTGTGTTCAGCTGTTATATCTGCCAAAGGTGGACACTTTCAGGAATCACAAGTTTAAAATATGTTTTAGTCAACAGTAGACAGTAAAAAAATGGAAAAAGTGTTGTGTTCTAAAACCTTTGACCGGTAGTGTACGTGTTAAAATGCGTAGGCTTTTTTATGGCGACACATTTGGTAGTTTTAAAGTGTTTCCAGAGACATTCGCACATGTGTTAGGAGGTTTCTCAGTCTGAGAGCTCATGGCTGGTGTTTTATGTTTACATTCATTTATTTTCCAAACTAGATGTAGTACTTGTACTCAGTGAACCAGTGATCTACTGTTACATAGCCAGGCACTCTACCTCTACACCTGGCAATCCAACCTTCTAAGCTTAGTTCTTTGGGTATGGGGTGGATCCATCATAATTAGACAAAAGGGGCCATGGACACACACTTCTAAGGCAATTAGAATCAACGAAGCCAAACCTAAATCAATATCTTCATACATTTTAACTGTTCTCTCTCTCTTTGTTCTGTATCACTCTCAGTCTGACCATTTTTTTCTTTCTTTTCCAGTATTGGACGCAAAGGAATGCGCAAAAGCAGGCGTGCTGTGCCACCCTCAGGCCGACTGTCTCAAAGTGCAGACCGACTATGTGTGCGTGTGCCAAATGGGTTATCAGGGCGACGGGACGGTGTGCAGTGACATCGACGAATGCTCCAGTGGACTCAACAACTGCCACTCCAAAGCCCGGTGCAACAACACTTTAGGAAGTTACGTTTGTGAATGTCTAAAAGGATACACAGGAGATGGACAAAACTGCCAAGATATTGACGAATGTATTAAGGAGAACGGAGGTTGCCACGAATATGCCATTTGTACCAACACTGAAGGAGGGAGGAAATGCAGTTGTAAAAATGGATTTACCGGGAATGGTTTTTTATGCAATGACATCAATGAATGCGCAAGTCAGCGAACATGTCACTGGAACGCAACCTGTACGAATAACCCTGGATCTTACGTCTGTACCTGCAATCCAGGTTATAAAGGAAATGGGAACTATCTTTGCTTGGATGTTGATGAATGCTCAGAAACGCCTCAGATTTGCTCTTTGTCTCTTGGCTATAAAGGCTGCAAAAATCTACCGGGGACTTTCCAATGCACCTGCAGCACTGGGTTTGAAAGTAACGGACAAATATGTGAAGACATTGATGAGTGCACTACCCAGAGGTGCAGCTCGTACGCGCTTTGTGAGAATACAAGAGGGTCATTCACGTGCACGTGTAAGAAAGGTTTTGACGGAAATGGGATGACCTGTGTTGACATAAACGAATGCGTCGATGGGTCAAACAACTGCGATCCGAACGCCGCTTGTATCAACCGACTCGGAACGTACGAATGTTCCTGTCGCGATGGTTTTCTCGGCGATGGGCGAAAATGTGACGACATAAATGAATGCGAAAACCAGGACCTTTGCCCCTCTTTCACAGATTGCGTTAACACACCTGGATCATACTATTGTGACTGTGGAGTTGGATACGTCTTCAATAGTTCCAAGTGCATAGATGTTGATGAATGTGAAAAGGGACTGTGTAGCCCTTACGCTACTTGTCAAAACTCAGCTGGTTCTTTTAGATGCCAGTGCAAAACAGGCTACAATGGAGATGGTTTTCGCTGTGTGGACATAGATGAGTGCTCACTGTCTCTTCAATGCCACCCTAAAGCGATCTGCCTGAACTTACCTGGCGCCTACAACTGCACTTGTGAGGCTGGCTATAAAGGGGATGGACTGACCAAATGCGACGATGTAGACGAATGCTTAGCGGACAATGGCGGGTGCAAAAACAAAGCAAGCTGCGTCAACACTGAAGGATCTTTCTATTGCGTTTGCCCTTCTGGATTTTCACTGATTAATAAAACAACCTGCTTAGATATAAACGAATGTGAGAAACTAGAAAACCCATGCGGAGCGAATGAAGAGTGTAAAAACATTGACGGGTCATTCGAATGCAATTGTAAAGCTGGATACTACCGCCCTCCAAGTAGTAAAACTTGTGTTGACATGGACGAATGTGAAAACAACCCATGCCACGTGAACGCGACATGTCTCAACACCATCGGTTCCCATACTTGTACGTGTATTCGAGGATTTGAAGGCAATGGCACCGTGTGTAATGATATAGACGAGTGTTCAGAAGACGGGGGGACTTGCCATCCTCACGCTACATGTGTTAACTCCATCGGCGGGTTTGCTTGCTCCTGTCTGCAAGGCTTCACTGGCGATGGGATCATGTGCGAAGACGTAGACGAATGTACCGATGACCAGCTATGCCCAAGTTTTTCAGTCTGCGTCAATTCTCCTGGTGCGTTCGTGTGCTCCTGTTTGAATGGGACACTGGTTTTGAACAACACATGCATCACCCCGAGTCAACAGTGCGACCCATCCTGCCATTCCCGGGGACTCTGCCACCCCTCGCCGTCCGGGTACCAGTGTGTTTGTGATAAGGGGTATGTGGGTTCTGGGGTGAGCTGTTCTGATATTGATGAATGCCGGCTGGACAGTGTCTGCCCCAAAAATGAGACTCAGTGTGTGAACGTGCCCGGGTCGTACTCCTGTGTCTGTAAACAAGGATTCACTCAAGTTGGCTCCAGCTGTTTTGGTAAGTTTTATGTTTGTTGTTATGGAAACGTTATTTAAAGGTCTTTTATTACACAAAGGTGACGTTTGTGAGCTTTAAGCCGTGTTATAATGTTGTTACAGCCTCAAAAATGTGGAGTTATGTTTTGTTTCATTCACATATGTTTGAGTAACTGTTTGTTAATTAGTCTGTCTGCATCTCCAAAGCTCAAAACACACTGTTTCACCTTGTGATGTCATGAAGTGGAAGCTGCCTTTTATCTTTTGTTCAGTAGAGAGGGTTAAAATTATCCAAATGAGTCTTGTGAAGGTGGATGGAGTTTAAAAAAACTTCCTGTATTACCACATGACATCACAAGGTGGAACAGAGGCTTTTCTGTTTGAGAGAAGAATTCAGCCTAAGTATGCAGAATTTGTGTCTTAAACATGTGTGAATGAAACAAAACACAACTCCAAGTATGATTTTGATAAGGAAACAACATTATAACATGGATCAGAAAATAGCTCAATATGGTCCCTTTAAATTAAAACAAAAACATGTATCTCAACTGAGAAATACATATTGAAATGCAACTATTTTCTTTTCTCCTCTCACTGTGTTCAAGGTTTCTTGCTTTTTTTTAACAAAGCTGAAATATCACAATATTCAATCTAATTATTTATGAAAATCCAATAACAGTAATTATTATCACACAGATTTTATGTCTCATTCACTTCATGCTTAATTAATACATGAAAAATAAACAAGGAATATAAAATAAATAGCTTATCTTATGCATTCTCTTAATTTTACTTTACTGATGTATAAAAGAATGAGAACTTTGCACATCAGTTACTTGAGATGGGTGTGTTGGAGGAAAGGGAGAAGCCCAAGAACATAGAAAAATCCCGCACATCATCTTACTTGCAAATTGTGAGATTTATTAGGACAAACCGTACAATGTTTTCGGCACTAGGCCTTCATCAGGCAAACAGATGTAAAAAATACTGCTGTATTTTATGAGCAGAATTCCAACTACTGGTTAACCTTTTTTTAGTTACATAATCTGACTTCTCTCTCTTTTCTTGCAGATTTAGACGAGTGTCTAACAGGACAAAATGACTGCAGCAGATTCGCCAAATGTGTCAACACCGTCGGCAGCCATCTTTGTTCCTGCCTCAACGGCTTCACTGGAGATGGCAAAAACTGCTCAGGTGGGTCTTTTCTCATTACAAAAATCCCCCTCTCCTCTGGGTCATTTAAGTGAACTGTGTTGAAGCTTTCTTTTAGCACACTTTGGGGCTGTTTCCCTGACACTGTCCCATTTTGGGTGAATTATAGACGTTGATGAGTGCGAGATCCAAAATGGAGGCTGCCACCCGACCGCCCGCTGCTCTAACACGCCCGGAGGCTTCACTTGCACCTGTCCCACTGGCACAGAGGGCGATGGATTTGACTGCCAGGACATAAACGAATGCGACCCAACCTCTTCTCTCCCGCACAACTGCAGCGCCCAGGCGAACTGCATCAACCAAAACGGGTCCTACGCCTGTCGATGCCACAGTGGATACCGGGGAGATGGATTTATTTGCGAAGACATCGATGAGTGCAAATTGGACACAACTTGTAGCAAAAACATGACTTGCTATAATTTTCCAGGCTACTTCACTTGCTCTTGCATTTTAGATCAAGTTTACGACATAGGGATTTGTGTCAAAAACGAAACATGCCGCAACGCACAATCAATATGCCACCCGCTTGCAGAGTGTTACCCATTTCAAGGCTCTTTCTATTGCAGATGCATTGATGGATATGAGGGCCCTGGCACCACTTGCTCTGATATTGATGAGTGTTCCCAAAGTGATAAAGCCTGCCCTGAAAATTCCCAATGTGTCAACGCGGACGGATCTTTTGAATGCGTTTGTTTCGATGGTTTTGCATCAAACGGGACGACATGTGAGGATATCGATGAATGCGCAACTGGGAATTTCAAATGTCCCGCTAACAGTACATGCTCCAACACAGAAGGAAGCTATGACTGTAAATGTGACCCAGGATTTTCCGGCAATCGTACTTTTTGTTCCGATATAGACGAATGCGCTTTAGGCTCGGTCCAGTGCCCTAATTTTTCAAAATGTCACAATACAGAAGGAGCGTTTTTGTGTAAATGTTTTGAAGGTTACCAAGAGAACGAGACCTATTGTGAAGACATCAATGAATGCCTGGACAATACAACCTGCCCTGATTTTAGTACTTGTATCAATTCAGATGGCAGCTACGACTGTATTTGTGATACTGGATTTTTTAAGCTTAATGGCTCCTGTTTGGATATAGACGAGTGCAACGCCCCTGAATCTGGCCTGTGTATCAATGGCACCTGCGTGAATTCAATTGGGTCATATTATTGTGAGTGCAACAAAGGATTTTCCAGCAGCGGGACTGAATGTTCTGATATTGACGAATGCTACGAATTGGAGAACACCACAATATGTCAAAACCACTCAACTTGTGTTAACGCTATAGGGTCGTATCTCTGCCCGTGCAATTTAGGTTTTACTCTTAAGAAACACAATTTGCGAAGATATAAACGAATGCAGTGATGGTGGAGACGCCTCTTGCCCCGAGAATTCCTACTGTAACAACACGCTTGGATCTTATACCTGCTTGTGCTCGCCTGGCTACACGAACAATAGCGTAGGCTGCGTGGATATTGACGAATGTGAAATCAGCACAGCATGCAGATCCGATCAAGTCTGCACGAATTCACCTGGCTCGTATCAGTGCTCCTGTCCGGAAGGCTTCTCCGAACAAAATTCCAATTGCACTGATATCAATGAATGCGCTGGATTTCCGTGTGACCCCATTGCGAGGTGCTGGAACACGCCTGGATCATTTTCCTGCCATTGTCCATTTGGATTTTCAGGGAATGGTTCATGGTGCAAAGATATCGATGAATGCAGTGTGCTTAAACCGTGCCACTTCAACGCTGCTTGCTATAATACTCCCGGGTCCTACCAATGCGTTTGTAAACCCGGATTTGTAAATCTGGGCACCAGTTGTGTAGATATAGATGAATGCCAACAAGATAATGGAAAATGCCACGTTGCAGCTCAGTGCGTGAACACCATTGGAGGGTACGGGTGTAGTTGTAACAAAGGGTGGATCGCAACCAGAAACAATGGACATGGAAAAGAAGGTTGTGTGGATGTAGACGAATGTTTAACCATACTTTGCCCTCAACCCAAAATCTGCATCAATGAACCAGGGACTTTCAGATGTGCCAATCGCCAACCATATACTCTGCCCACTACAGCGGCTCCAACGGGTGGGATATGACTTCTGCTATTTACCTGTTAAAACACTAAGATAAGATATAGCACTAACCTCAAAACAACATACACTTATAGATTTTCATATACAGTATTGCATTCACAAATGTCTAGATTTTGGATTACCTCTATTCCTTCTCTCTAGTCTTAAAAATCTACTCCTCTAATATTTCTCCTAGTTAAATGTGGTCTGCTACCTACCTGCCAACATAAAGATGTGGGCCTGGAATGCTCCACAGTATGGCATTAAGCCTATCAATTTAACATTTATTTGCAGATTTTTTATTGCTCAAAATATATATACATGAAAACATACAGTTGGGTGGCCATACCGGCTTGTCAGATTCAGAAGCTAAGCAGGGCTGGGTCTGGTTAGTACTTGGATGGGAGACCACTGGGAAAATCAGGTGCCACAGGGGGCGCCATTGGCAAAAACTGTTAGGCAAGACACTTCACCCACATTGCCTAATATGAAAGTGGTGTGTGTGTGAGAGATGGTGGTGGATGGAGGGGCCGATGGTGCAGATTGGCAGCCTCGCTTCTGTCAGTCTGTCCCAGGGCAGCTGTGGCTACAATAGTTGCATACCACCACTGAGTGTTGAGTGAATGAATAATGAACTGTGAAGTGCTTTGGGTATCTTAAAAGGCACTATATAAATGCAATGATGAATTAAAGTATGAGTATGAACGGACTCGCCTCTCCACAGATGTGACATGCTACTTGTCTCTATGATGATATGCTTAATGTCATATTATGGAAGAGTTAAGGCAAAGCAATAGCATCTCCATGCAAACCAACTGTGCTAGTTTGTAGTATTTGAAAAAAAAAAAGAAAAAATCATAGTCATACTTATTAAACTGTCATATATGAAATTCTTTATGCCTTTAAGTGCTTACCAATGTCTAAAATGTAGATTTAATTTGACATATTATTATGATGTTGATGAAATACTATTCAAATTCATGTTTTTGTTTTCTGTCTGTGTGGACAGAGAGTGTCCTGTTTCCTTATGGAGAGGAGGTTGGAGATGAAGCTGTGATGATCACAGACGGGGACGGAAACTCTCCGTACATCACTCCTCCAGTCGACTTTCCTTTTCTCGGAAAGTCCTATAAAAGGATTTACGTGAGTATTCTGTCTTACTTAAGTAAAATTTCCTTGGGCTTGGCTCCATGGAGATGTGTCTGGTTTTCCTAGAATGTTGCACAGTATCATGTGTTTTTTATATATTTAATATTTATTGTGATTTTAGTCAAGTGCGATGAATGAATTGAACTGATGGAACAAACCATTTTGCACTGGAGCACTGTAACACTTTATTTTGTAATTGTGGTTTTATACGTGTTTATTGATGATGATGTGGATGAGTGAAATGTGAAATGTGGCACCTGCCTCTCAAATCTGCAAAACTAATTTACCTACGGGTACGAATAAAGCAACCTAACTTAACCTAACCTAACAGTATGGCATTAAAGTTCTTAAATTCATGGAGACAAGTAGGTGACGCCACCATGCCAAGTGAACTAAAAAGCTACACGGTGCACCTTTATTTATTTATATTTATTTATTTATTTGATCAAATTCATATCTTATGTACCTAAAATGGTGATGTAAGGAGGCATTTTAAAATACGTTCCATTATTAGAGTCTTACTGTTTTGTACAGAAAAAAATAGCAATACATCGTCACTGAGAAGCTTTACCGCTCTCTCCTTTTAGCTTACACAGTTCTGTATGTCTCTGTCTCTTCAGTTTTCGGACAATGGCCTGATTCAGCTCCAGACTCCAGATGAGAACGAGCAGTACCTCCTCCCTGCTCCCACGGGTGCTGCCTTCCCCAAACACAGGAACCTGTCTCTGTTGGCTGCGTTTTGGGATGACGCGGACCTCAGCAACGGGAGAGGACGAGTGTTTTATCAGGTGTGTACGTGTGAGGGGTCAGGTGAACAGGGAGCCCCAAGTTAAGTGCTGTACAATAGTGAAGCATTTAGATGAAGCACTGAAGCTGAAAGTCATGAGTAATCTGTAATTATCGATTGCTAGAGCTGCTGAAGGTTGAAGGTTTTACAGGGTAGCCACGGAGTCTTAAACGTCTTAAAAAGGTCTTAAATTTTATGTTCCTAAATTTAAGGCCTTAAAAAATCTCAAATTATGTTTGTCCATGTCTTATTTTTTTCACAAAGGTCCTAAATTTCATTTGCCTATTTTTTGTATACTCTGGGCTGCAGTGCAATGGAGGGAGGAAAAAAAAAACAACAACAACGTGAAATCATGTAACGTGAATGAGCGTCTAATTTGGAGTATACGCAAATGATACTTTGGTTTCTGGCGCCGGCGGCAATGAGTAAACAATCAGTAGAGTGGAGAAAGACGTTGGATTCTAGATAAAGTAGTTGGTTGGTCATTACTAGAATTGGATCTGGTGTTTTTCGCCTACATAAAGGGTGCAATGTTGGTCTTTATTTTCATTTAAGTGGTCTTAAAAAGGTTTTTAAAAAGTCTTAAATTTAGGGTAGTCAAACCTGGGGATACCTTGTTTTAGTGCATAGGTATGATTTAGGTTTTGACATAATCACACTAAATATTTGCAAATTGTAATGTTTAAATAAATAAGAAACTATTGAAACAGATAGAAATAGATGGTGTCATGCCGATAACATCCCAGGTCCAGAAAGTTGCATGCAGTGACGTGCGGTGTGGTTCATGGCTAGTGAGGCACTGACTCTTTCAGAGTCAGATTTACAATTGGAAATTAACCCAAAGGAGCACTATAAACAGCATCTTTATACAAACATGATGCATTTTGTATTAAAGGGCAAATTTATTTCAATTAAGCCCATTTTAAACTAAAATTATCCAAGTTTATCTTACCTTCACTTGAAGATGAAATCCATGCGCCGATCCTTCTGGACAAAAATGTCAGTGACTTTGTTGTAGAAGTCCTCCTTATCGTCCTTCAGTTTCAACAGTCTCTCTGACTCAATGGAGATCATTGCCAGGGATGAAAGACGTCCTTGACCAGTCCTGTTCCGACTGTATGTTTAGATTTTTTTTAATGCTGAGAAAAATCTCTCCACAGAAGCTGTTGTCGCTGGTATTGTGAGTACTAACTGGAGTAACTTAGTTGCCTCAGGGACAGTCTGGATGAGGTCGTTCTGGGCCAAAAAGCTGAGAAGTTGTCCAGGAGACTTGCATTCATTCCTCACCGTTTGGGAGCTATACAGTCCAATTAGATCCGCCTTTAGTCTCACAAAATCAAAAAAACCTTGCATATTTTGACAAGCTCTGCAGTTTCGTGTCATCAAAATGTTGTGACATTTCACTAAATTTTGTGCAATCCAATAAACCAAGGAAAGCTAGCTCACCAAAGTGATCAAACCTGGCTTTCATCTGATCACTGATGTTATCAAAAATATTACAGAACACTTGCCGATGTTCATCTCTGACTAACTCTGTACGTCCTGTGTTTGTCAGACCAAGTTCGCCACATTTCTGCTCAAATCGGTTATAAAAACAATCAAAATCCTGTCTTTTGAGTTCTAGAGCCCGGAGTGTATCACGGATGTGCCCACAACAATACTGAATATCTAACACTTTGTTTTGCAGCACTCTAAAAAGTGAGTCTGTTTCACTGAAAATGTCCTCATATGTCATAAGTAAGAAGCATGTTGATGCTTTTGACAGCCACCGGTCGTATCCTGTTGCCATCATCAAAGTCTCATTATCCCAGTTGTCGGGATTTTCCTCCATGATATGGAATAAAGCACGCACATCGTTTTGGTACATGCTTATTGTCTGGACCAGTCTGGAGTTAGAGCTCCATCTTGTAGGCGCTGCTCTGGGTAAACGTCGCTTCACCACCTCATCCATTAAGTGCGTGCGCTTGGTGGACTTGCTAACTGTTTTAAAAAACACTCGACATTCAGGGATGCACTTTGCTGAATGCATTAGTACAAGGTTTAACTTGTGCGCATAACAGTGGGTGAGCATGGCTTCAGGTACCTTTTCTTTTATTTTAGCCTGCACCCCATTAAGGTCTGATGCCATTACAGCAGCCCCATCATATGTCTGGGCTACAAGCTTTTTAACACAGGTGTATTTCTCCAACACACCCATAACATACTCGGCTATAGCAGGGGCTCGTCTATCTGCACTCACGTCGTCAAAACCCAAAAACGCCTCCTTCACTTCACAAGCTGCTTCAGTTTTTACATAGCGCAAAATGACAGAGATTTGAGCTTTATTTGTCACATCGGTTGTCTCGTCTACTTCTACTGCTACAAATGAGGCTGCGCTAATTTCATTTCTAATATCATTTCTGATGACATCGCTGACTGCTTCAATAAGATCGTTTTGTATTCTATTTGACAAGCCAGAAAAGACAGTGGACGTAGCTAAATGTTTCGCTAGCCTCTCGTCTTTCTCAGCAAAAGCGTATAATAGCCCTAAATAGTTTCCATGGTTAGCGCTGCCTGCGCTCTCGTCATTGCCACGAAATGCTAGCTGCTGCTTAGCGAGGAAACAGGTTGCGTTGATGAGGTCTTTTAAAATTTCTCTGTTCTTTTTTACCTTTGCGTTGTGTAGGCTAATGTTGAGTCTCCGCTGTTCATCCAAGGCCAAGTCTATCCTTGAAACCCCAAAAGTTTTCAAAGCGATCTGACTTTGAATGTGAGTGGCTGATCGCTCATGCTTGCTGAGGCTTCTAGGCAAAGTCTTCATGTCACAATATCCAGTTTGAGTCCATACATTGTCATTAACTGAAAACAAAAGACAGGGAAAACAGAAAAGGCGGTTTCTCGTAGGACATCCAAATCCGTGTATCATTCGTTCATTCGTTTTTCAATATAAAACCAAAAATAAGAAAACGAAAAAAAACAGTTTTCTTCGTTATTTGTCTCCAAAACCAAAGTGAAAAAACGGATAACGATTCGTTTTTTCAGTTTTCGATTTTGTGTTTAAATGAAGAATGGAAAAAACGGATAACGGCCGTTTCCCGTTTACGTGACTTCCGTGACTGCGATGCCGAACTTTTGCACCGCGTACGGACTGAACTAGGACTGATCCAGGTCCGAGACCAGACCGAGACCAGAGCGGGACTGAGACCGGGACCAGAGCGGGACTGGGACCAGACCGGACCAGAGCGGGACTGAGACCGGACCAGAGCGGGACCGAGACCGGGACTGAGTCTCAGTAGCGCTCTGGTCCCGGTCTGGTCCCGGACCTGGTCCATCTGAACCAAAAGCTCTTAGTTCGGTTCGTTTTCGTTGGGGTGAAAGCGTCAGTCGGAGGCTTTGCACCACCTCGGAATCAGCCGCGGTTCTTGAGCGCGGAGGACCAGAGCAGCTCTGTCTGGTCTCGGACCTGGATCCGTCCTGATTCAGTCCGTATGCGGTGAGACTGGGACCAGACCGGGACCAGAGCGGGCCTGAGACCGAGATCGAGACAGACCGGAGGCTCAGAGCCCACGGCAGGGCCGGAGCTCCAAGCTGAGGCTCGGACCCCGTGGAGGCTCGGAGTCCAAGCTCGGAGTCCGGTCTGGTCCCGGTCTCAGTCCCGCTCTGGTCCCGGTCTGGTCCCGGTCTCAGTCCCGCTCTGGTCCCGGTCTGGTCCCGGTCTCAGTCCCGCTCTGGTCTCTGTCTGGTCTCGGACCTGGATCAGTCCCGGTTCAGTCCGTATGCGGTGCAAAAGTTCGGCATCGCAGTCACGGAAGTCACGTAAACGGGAAACGGCCGTTATCCGTTTTTTCCATTCTTCATTTAAACACAAAATCGAAAACTGAAAAAACGAATCGTTATCCGTTTTTTCATTTTGGTTTTGGAGACAAATAACGAAGAAAACTGTTGTTTTTTCGTTTTCTTATTTTTGGTTTTATATTGAAAACGAGCGGCCAACTCCGTTTGAAAACTCCGAGTTACGTTCTTTGCCGTAGTCTGAAGCAAACCTCTGAGCTCCGGTGTTGGTCTCCCTTTGATTACTACATCTTGCTTTGATTGAAAATCCAGATTTGCGAATCTTTTCAGTTTGGAAATGTAATCGTCCATTGTGATTATCTAGGCGGATTATTACGAATAAAAATTAACCGCGCAAGAATCAACTCACAGCGCCCTCTTCCTTGAGTCAGGCGAACTGTTTGCCTCACCGAGTAACTTTTTACTGCTGTTTTATAATTAATCTGCGAGCCTAAACACGTTAGAGAAATATATCTCATACATAATCAAAATTTTGGAAAGTCAGAACACATCGTCAGAATGTTTTATTTTGGATAGACAGGACAGTGACACACATTATTTGAATCGCATACAGATACTGTTTGTTAGGTATTACCATGGGATAAAACTATTCACCGAGCGGCACAGCAAGGTGCTGCCTCACGGCGCGTCTCCTCCTTCCTGTATTTCACTGGAACATGCAGACCTTTTGACATTTTTAATTCAAAATATTTTTTATTACTGGATTTGTACGGAAAAGGGATTTGTAATACATACCAGGTGACAAATATTAAAATGTATTATATTTTATAATCAACTTTTCTTTTTCTTTTCAAGATTGACAGGTGAGACTCTGCCTCCCCTGCCTCTCCTGAATGCACGTCACTGGTTGCATGCTATATCTTTAAAGTGTGATTCAGATACATTTTGGACTAGTTAATAAGTTGTTAAAATGCTTTTCATTGCCGCTCCACTCTCCCTTCTCTAACCGTTTGTTCTGTTGTGTTTTTGAAACAGGAGTACAGTGAGTTGGACATGTCAGACGTTTACTCTCAGATTGTGTTTAACCGCACAGCAGCAGAAGTCACAAAGTTTCAACAAAGACTCAACAAACCTGCGTTCACTCCGGCCTACATCCTCAAGGTCACATGGGACCATGTCTTGCCCCCCGTCTACCAGAAACTCAACTTAGAGGAGGTACACAACAAGAACAGTCATGTACTATTTACTATCAACTAATGGTGTCATTCTAAAATCTGTCCGCCAGAAAAACACATTATTTTCCTTCAGCGTTGTTCCATGTATCTAATTTCGATACTAGTGTTTACAATGATTAGTATCTGAGTATTATTTTCCACTGAGTTATCCAAAGATGACAAAACTAAACCAAAATGATTACGTGCCAATAGTTGTAATCAGTTCATTGTGAATTGATATGCAATTATAAAGGAGGATCAGAAAGTTGAATAGTCTCACTGTTTGGAGGAGGAGACAAGTATTATCCATTATGTATTCGTGTCACGGAGCTTTATGAGAGATAGTATTGTTATTGGGAATTTGAGAAACCTCTTTTCATTTAATAAGAGCATTTGTTGTGCAGCTCAGGGAAAACCAAGGAAGCTCATTATCTCCCTCTGGTGGCCGTGTGTTTTCACAACACTCAAATCTGGAACAAAAATCAGAGTTGCTTTACTTAGTAGCTGTAAATATTAGTGAGTGTTAGTAAGTGGACGATATCTACTAAAGCATATGGACTTTAAAAAACATGGAAGACCGCTTCCAAGCATTGCATAAGTGTTATCCCGATACTAAAATTTCAAAGTTGATACTAAATACTTGATAATGTTTTCAGTGCCAGAGCCATAACAACAAAACACCCTTTTTCTAGACCAGCGGTTCCCAAAGTGACATTAGAAATATTGCAGGGAGGCTGCCAAAAGTTGTCCACACAACAAGCAAGAAATTTTGGTTTAAATCAACTTATATTTGTATTAACTTAAACATACATTTAAAGAGAAAATATGACATGTAGTGTAAACTATTATTAGAGGGGCCTTGTGTGATCTTCACATCGATAGGGGGACCATGGCACAGCAGACTTTGGAAACGGCTGTTCTAGACAACAAGATTTCATTTTCTCCAAATATAATTGCATAAATAAGTAGTTTCTTGGTAACACTTTATAATAACTACACCTTACTTAGCCTTAATAAAGCATGAACAAAGACTTAATTAATAATGAACAAAGATTTAATTAATAATGATTCACGCTTAGTAAATGCTGAATAAAGGATAATTTGTCTCCACTTTAGAAAAGCTCTCAAAAAGATGTAACTAACAGATAACAGCTGCCTGAATTATCATTGCATTGTATTATTAGTAAATCATTCTCTCATAGTTTACTAATGATTAATAAATGCTCAATTGGTTAGTCCATGAGTAAATAAGTATGATATAATTATGAGTAACTATTTACAGTACAGGCAAATTAAGTGCAAGTGCTAATTCAGGTAGTAATTAAGTAGTTACTAAGTGTGAATCATTATTAATTAAGTCTTTGTTCATGCTTTATTAATGCTAAATAAGGTGTAGTTATTATAAAGTGTTACCAGTTTCTTAAACAGATCAAGACGGTTCTAAACATTTTAGGAAAGGTCCAATTATGTCCTATTTATGTGATTTTTTTTTCCAGTACTGATGCTACTTTTTATACTATTTTTAGTATTGATTGGTATCTGAGTATCAGTTTTGATCTTTTATTTTATTTTATTTTTTTTAAGGACAACAGAATATAACATAAAAAAAAAATACAACAATCAACATTTAACAAATTACAATAGTCAGCATAAAACAAAACACAAAAACATAAAGCAACACCCACAACAAATACAAAAAATTTTTCCCCCGACCACACACACTGACCCGAATTTGGCATTTGGCTAAATTAAACAAAAGTAATATGGTAGTGTGACATAAACACACCGCCAGGCCCCCTTACATTGACACATTACGGTCAATTCATAATTAAAATTCCTTTTCTCTCCATTTTTAAACATTTTTAGTCCCTATACTTAAACTAATATTATTTTCACCATCATCATTTCCTTTCATATTTTTTTGTTATTTATAACAAAGTCAAATCTTTGTTTTGTTTTGATCTTTGGGGAGGGCTACTCAAATGAACGTAAAATTAAATTAAAATAAAGAAACTTCACTGTATTGAAAGCCACAAAAACATAGCCTACCTTAACCTAATTTAATATCCCAAACTTTGTTTCAGACCAACACCTTCCAGTGCATATTGACCACTGACGGCGGCAGCTCATTCGCTTTGCTGAAGTACGGGGACATGCTCTGGGGCCCGGGACAGAGGCAGCACCACAACGCTCTGGTCGGCTACACAGACGGGACAAATACCCATATCGAACCCACAGTCCCAGCTGACAACATATTCGGAAAGGGGGGCAGATACCGACCCAACCAATGGACAGGAACTCTGGGAAAACCTGGAGAACTGGTGTACGATCTTTCAAATCCGTCAGGCGCAAATTCCGATTCAAGAATTAAGTGTCAAGAGTGGGCTTTGAAACAACCAGATGCGAGCGAATGGGCGTCTGGTCTACCGTCTTGTCCCTGTACAAAAACACAAGCACTCGGAGATATGTCGTTTATCCAAGAAGTGCTGGACCAGACTGACAGAGTGGCTGCGCTGAGGCTCCAGAGATATGGAGGGGTGGGCGGTCACGTTTTTCGGTCTGTCCTGTCCAATGCGTACGGATCAGGGAAGAGGTGCGTGTACGAGCTAGAGGGGGATTTGCTGACGGGATACAGCGAGAGATACTTCACTGCGACAGAAAGACAGAGACATATAGGTAAGAAGATTTGATGGTGAATGTACAGATTGTTTAGAGGCCTTGATCTTTAATTAAATGTTGCTTGAAATGTTTCACAGTATGTCATTAAAATGGGTCTGGATTTGATAGTCTAAATCTGAAAACAAAACTGTACTTGCTCATGTCTCAGTTTGGAAAAATGGGGAAATAATGCCCCCTGCTGTTGAAATTCTTACACAAACTTTGACCATTGTTGTATGAAAGATATCATTCTGAACATGGCAGCCAGTGTGGTTTATTTTATTATTTTATAAAAAAACAACAACAATGGGTCAAGGTTCAAATGAGGATAGATGTCTCAATCAAGACAATGAAGTTTATCTTACATTATGGTGTTTATTTTCACAAACTAAACATGAAGAATGCATGTGTCCTGTGTACATTTTTACAAAGCTCTCCTCTGTCTACAGATGAAGACCTGCTGCCGTTCCAGTGGTGTTGTATCGACTCTCCTCTGTGCGACCTTTACCTTAGACAGCGCCCCCTGGACCGCTGCCAGGGTTACTGCTGGGCCGACCCCAGCAACTGCTCCACGACCAAGAAGGCGGGGCAGGGCGTCGGTGAGGGCTATTAACTGCACATACATTATCTTTGAGAATTAGGTTGTACAGCCAAGTTTGGATGATTGATTTTTATCTTGAGCCTCTGCCAGAAATGGTCATTTACACTTTTATGGAGTTATTTGGCCTCCAGAAAACCTTGGATTTTTGATTTAGAACTATAGATGTGATAATAATGACAACATTTTGATAGACAACCAGTTTAGATAAAGCAGAGAAGAACATTCATTCATTCATTTTATTTGTTTTAGCCAGGAACAACAAAAATTCAAAAACAATAACAAAAACACAGATATGTACATGAACATATTTGGGACCTGGTGCTCAAAAGGAGTAGCCAGGCTGGCGCCACCTAGTGCCTCCGCTCAAGTTTCATTTCTCTCCAGCGGCTAAGTCAGGAATCAAAATACAATAGACGGTTCGCAAAAACCCCGGAAGTGCGAGTTTGGGCACCAGCCAATCAATGAAGAGCCATACAGTCAGTGTTGTCAACGATTCCCGAGATCGAGAATTTAAAGCCAGAATAAGGAGAATGTTTAGTGAATTTTATCAAGGGGAAAGACGTTATTGCCCTTCTTCACGACCAAATAGCAGTGATTTGTTAAATGATAAAAAGTATCCACGTACCATCGAGCGAACAAATTCTAATGCTCTGAGGTCAGACGGTTTATACAAAGTGAAACGAAGTAAAACCGGCTGATGAATCAGGCTACAAAAGGAGTAGGATGAAGTTTAAAAAACTTATAGTGTCCTGTTGTTTAACATAATCACGTGGTTCACACTTTTAACACCTTTGGAGTGTTTAACTGTCATTATGCATTGCCGAAATATAAACACATACATACATATATACATAAACATATACACACATACATACATACATATATACAAACTAATAATAATGTTAAAGTAGGCAGAGTTTATCGTTTATGATCGTACAAAATAAACAGCAATGAGAATGACAAATGTAAGGATTTTTAGTTTTTGTTTATCCAATCCAATCCAACTTCCTTTGTATAGCACATTTTACAAACAAAACAGTTTCCAAAGTGCTTCACATAGCAATGCAACATTTTACTTTAAAAAGAGAAAGAAAAAAAATCTGCAGAATTATGTTTAAGAAAAACACTAATAGAGAAATAAATAAAATAATGTTTATGGTCGTACGTACTAATAATTGTAATGAAGAAGGCGCAAAAGTTTATTGTTTGTGATCGTACAAAATAAACCGTAATGAGAATGAAAAATGTAAGGATTTTTAGTTTTCGTTGCTGGTTGTACAAACTAATAATTGTAATGAAGAAGTATATTAAGTTTAGTATATTAAGTTTTACGCAATACTGACTATCTTAATATCAGTATTAACAATATACTTGTAAGTTTTAGGAAAATCCTGTGAAAACATTTGTGTATTTTTAACACTAAGTAGAACCCCGGGGTGACACTACTACTACTAATTATTATTACTATTACTACTACTAACTTATACTTACTACTGTCCATATCTGGATGAGTTTCCCCTAACAACCCAAAACATGCACAATAGTCAGCCCAAACGTAACTCAAGATTAAGCAAAGGACAAATATCCTTATGGCTACAATAAAGTGTACCTTAACCTCACTATTACTACTATTACTTACTATGACTTCTACTACTTTGTCCATACTTACAGCAATGGTGTTTGGCAGTCTGCACTTCGTCACGTTCGATGGGACAGAGTACTCTTTCAAAGCTTTGGGAGAGTTTGTGATCGTTCGTCTCTCCTCGTTCACCGGCTCAAATATCTTCACTCTTCAAGGACAACATGAGCCGCTCCAGTCAAACTTGAACCAGGTCTTCTCCCAGGTCCCAGCGGTGGTGCGCATGGCCGCCTTCTACCAGGGCATCGGGAAGGTCAGTGAGAGGGGGGCTGGAGGGGGGACAAGGGAAAGGGAGTGTTAGGAGGAGAGAGCTAAAGAATAGATTAAAGAATAGTTTAAAATTTGTGTTGAAATGAAAAACAAATACTACAAATATTTTTACAATTATACGTGGAAGTACAATTATAATGTGGAAGTGTATCAGAATGTATTGTGTTATGTGTAGAGTTTGGTCAGAACAATGTACTAATTTTAATAATTATAGAAATATTGCTCACTACAGTGTTTATACTAAATAATTTCCCAATTCAGTCAAACTTAAAGTGTGACTAAACACCTCCCAAAGCAATTGTCCAAAGGAGTTGTTAAACTGGACACTTCCTGCATGAGTACTCAGAGCAGAGACGTGCAACATCATAGGTCTGTTCAAATGCGTTGGCCATTGGCGACAAAACACACTCAGTTTTAGACAGTTTAGACCACAGATCTGCAACTTAACAGTTTTCACTAAAATCTAGGAGTAGAGAATGATAATAAAAGACCTGGTACACAAGTTTAGTCACAAACAAAACGTGTGTGTAAGTTTGAAGTAGTAATAATAATAGTATTTTTATTTTTTTTTGCAGGTGGAGTGGAGATGTGCAGACGCGGGAGATGGCCTTCAGCTTATTGTGGACGATGTTAATATCCCAGTCTATGTTGGTGAGAATCGTGTTTAAATATATTCATACTGTTTATGGTTTTAACAGGTAAATTATGATTTACATTTCAGTTTGTGATGTTTTGAGGAACATCAGTCCATACTTTTAACCCCTCCCCTAAAAAAATAAAAATAAAAATGTAGTCCACATTTCACACAGAATGCACATTTCAGATTGCTTTATTGGCCTTGAGAAAATTAACTAGGTTTTGTTTTGGCAAGAAAATAAACATTGTAAAATAAACATTGTACAAACCTTTTTTAAATTCTTTTAAATTAAAGGTATTCTTCTTATGATGCCACCAGGATCAGAAAGCCTGATTTTCAAGTAGAACATGAAAGAAAAGTTACATAGTTCACCATTAAGAACTTTTAACTTCTTTTACATCACTGATTTTCTGTTCAGGTGTTACGTTATGTTTGATCTCTTGTGTACAGGAGTGGTGCACGTTGGCCGGAGGGACTTTGCGGTGCGCTGTCTGTCTGTGAGCCACTGCGTGGCAGTCTATTCTGGGGGGCTGCATGTGTCCGTGAGGAGGGTCTCAGGGTACAGGGAGTTGGGGGCCGAGGTGGAGGTCCCTCAGAAGTTCTTTAACCGCACGGTGGGTCTGATGGGACTGTGGTGCTCAAACCGATCAGCTGACTTCCTCATGTCAGACGGGATCCTGCTGGTGCCCCCCAGCTTCAGCTCCCTCCCACAAGATAAGATAAACGCCTTTGGGATGTCATGTGAGTACAACTAAGTCACAAGCACTATTTACATGCACACAAAAATCTGATCATTATTTGAGGGAAAATCAAGTTTAGCTGCAGCAACATTTACACTGTGTTTCTCTGTCACCTTTGTGTCTCAGTCAAAGGTCTCAGTGCAGTTTAACATGGGACAGTTAGGGTCAGCAGATGTTGTGTCAGGGCAGTTTGTCCCAAGGACAAAAGTGTCCCTCCTTTGTGTTCTGCAGCTTGGGTATCACAGCAGCGTCCAGGTCGAACCAGGTGAACTCTGGACAACTTTTCTAAGCCTTACTCTTACTCCACTCTGTTGTTTCAGTCGGTGATAAAATGGTCCATTTCTTTGAAGTATTTTGTTGTTAGTTAGCTCCTTAGCTGAACAATAGGAGACATAGGTGTGGAAAAGTGTCTGTGTCTGAACATACAATAAACATAGTCACTGTATTACAATAAGACACAATAATTAAGCTCTTTAATGTCTGTACCTGCCCAAGGACTGCAGATAGAAAGGAGTTTATATCTAAATCTGGTGTAGACCATCTTTTCTCTATACGTATTCAACAGTAATTTCCCAAAATACTCCTCTGGCAGTACATACGTACATATGTAAGGCAGGTGCAACCCGATTCTTCTCTAACCCTGTATATTTTATGTATACTTGCATCTTTAGGGGCAGTCCCTGTACCAGAGTCCCTGCTCCTGTCTCCTCCTCCTGGACCCTTCACTCCGGTCTCGACTGAGAGCTTGCTCCAGAGCGCCTCCCCGGCCCAAGTCAGCGAGCTGAGGACGTTCTGCTCTGGGAACATGCAGTGTGTTCACGACACTTTAGCCACTGGAGACATGGAGCTGGGGGAGGAGGCTCGGCAGGCCAAGGAGAGGCACACGAGTATGGCTCTGCTCTATGGTAAGCACCAGCTACATCCACGTCATTTATCTAAAAGTGCAAAATGTAATTCTTCTGGTGGAAGTTCTGCTTTCTTGTGGTGCCACCAGCTTGTCTCCAAAGAGATCCAGAAAAGCTGTGTAGTTGAGTTTAACGATACATTCAAAATTATGCACACTCCTTTCACTACCCAACTATGAAAGAAGTTGAAGAATTTATCCAATTTACATATAAAGAACACTGAAATTTATGGCTGCATTTACACTTGTCTTGATCCCCATTGTTACTGGGATGTGGACTTGATTTGAAAAATGAAAATGTTCTGGTCCATGAAATATGCCTCCCATAAAATGAAAATGAGATTAATGATTAATAATAAATTGTAAATGTCGACTGCAACATTTCTTTCCGTTGTATATTATTTGCTGGAGTTGGCCACTACAAATCCATTCACAGTTGTATGTAAATATAATCCCTGTATGTTCTGTTATAGGAAACATGCCTCCCATCGTGACAACCCCTCTGGAGATCCGGGCCACAGTAAACATCACAGTCCAGGTTAAACTCACGGCCCGGGACTCAAACGGAGACCCCATCTCCTTCTCTCTGATGTACCCCAGACCTCTGCGTGTCAATCTGGCAGGTGAGGCCCGCAAAAGCATTCGAATACAGATGCATTTAAAGCTGAAACATCTCAGATTACACATGCCCACCAGACTGTAAACTGAGATGAGATGAGAGAGCATTAACAACTTCAGCCAGTCAGACAACAAACAGCTCAAAAATCTGTGTGTCATTCGTTCATTCATTTTTCAAAATAAAAAAAAAAATAAGAAAATGAAAAAACAACAATTTGCTTCATAATTTTACTCGAAAACCAAAATGAAAAAACAGATAATGATTCGTTTTTTCAGTTTTCAATTTTGTGTTTAAATTAATAATGGAAAAAAACAGATAACGGCCGTTTCCTGTTTCTGTGACTTAAACTGCGATGCTGGACTTTTGCGCCGCATATGAAGTGAACCAGGACTTAACCAGGACTAAACCAGGACTAAGTATCGGGATGGGCCCGGAGGTGTTTCCCACGTAGTTGGGTGATCAGGACTAAGACCAGGACTAGACCGGGACCAGACTGGGACTAAGACCAGGAGTGATACCAGGACCAGACAAGGACCAAAACCGGGACAAAGACCAGGACCAAGACCAGGACTGAGACTGGGACTGACACCAGGAAGGAGATCAGGACTGAGATCAGGCCTAAACTGGGACTGAGACCAGGACTGAGACCGGGACCGAAATCAGGACCAGACCTAGACCAGAACTGGACTGAGACCGGGACCAGACCAGAACTGAGACGAGGATTGAGACCGGGACTGAGACCTAGACTAGACCGGGACCAGTAACGCACGGACAGGAAACGGCCGTTTTCATTTAAACACACAATCAAAAACTGAAAACAAATCGTTATCCGTTGTTTTATTTTGGTTTTGGAGACAAATAATGAAGAATATAGTTATTTTTTCATTTTCCTATTTTTGGTTTTATTTTGAAAAACGAATGAACGAATGATACACAGATTCTAACCTGTCATGTGCACTTTAAAGAAAACTATTAATATACCAGACGACCTAATGAAACCAATGAGCCTAAATACAGCTTATAGAGGGCTGATATTTAGATTTTAGATATCTATATTAGAGTCTTATATTATCTCTGTAGGGGACGGTGTGTTGTCTTGGACCCCCCTCAGTACCAGCCCTGTCCAGATCCAGTTGAAAATCAGCGACTCCACCTCCAGCACTCTGTTTGTGCCCACCATCAAACTGTGCAACTGTGTGAACGGAGGGACCTGCCAGTTCAACACCCCCACAAAGAGCCACCTGCTGGGCAAATTCCAGGTAAAATACACTTTAGAATATGATCAGAGAGATGATAAAGCGCCGGTTCAATGTTAGTGCATAGATGTTGTGTGATTGTCCTGTTCTTGGGCAAGACATTTCACCCACCTTGCCTTTGATTGTTTGGAGGTGGTCTGTGAGCTAATGAAAAATGTAATGTAGTTTTGCCAAAATAATGAAATTTTGAGCTCAATTTTTATAAGAGGGGGGGAAAATATACTCTTTATATTATGATACCAAATAATTAAAATGTGCATGTGGTCTTGCATTAGTTCTGATACCCAACTTTGTCCTAAAGACCTTTTTCACAATGGCCAGAAGTGCCGCGATGTAGAGTAAACGTAACTCCCAGTAATACTTTTCCACGTCAAAATATCTGTGGAAATGTCTTGCGTATTTTCCACCAGCTTCATAAATCTGCCTCATCACCAAATCTTCATCCAACAACGTCGACAAGGACATACCGTATTTTCCACACTATTAGGCGCTCTGGATTATAAGACGCACTGTCATTGAATGGTCTTTTTCGAACTTTTTTTCACAAATAAACCGCACTGGACTTTAAACGACACACAACAGTTAGATAGGTCAGTGGGACTTTGTTTGGCGCGTTCACGGTGACTCTGGGCGTAGGGAGGGTGCTGTCTGGGACCGCTGGATTGTCGACGTGTTCGCAGTGACTCAGTTGTTCAGTTGTGGCTCAGAGTGGCACATTGCACTCGTTTTTTCGGTTCGTTCCTCCGTTCCGTTCCTTGTCCGTGTTTAATGATGAGTGTGTCTGTGGGTATTTTTCGCTGTGCGGTCGCTGTCTGCTCTGTGTGTGTTTGCGTGCGCTGCGGGTGGTGCGGCTTTGTAGTTTACTGAAGTCGTGTTGTGACACCCGGGTGGATTCGTGTATAGGGCGCTCTGGATTGTGGGGTGTGCGGTCTTTTTTTGATGGGGTTAGAGGCTTTTGAGCGCGCCCTATAGTGATGAAAATACGTTATTCTGTCAACTTAAACTCATTGTTCACCTTTACGTTTTCATCTTTCTTACCTTGATAGTTGTGGATAAATTCTTCATGGGCAGAATTTGTCGTTTGTTGACCTTGTTGGATGAAAATTTTGTGATTGGGCAAATTTGTGAAGCTGGTGGAAAATATGCAAGACATTTCCACAGATATTTTGTCATAGAAAAGGATTATGTCAGTGACATTTACCCTACATCCTGCACTTCCAGCCATTGTGAAAAAGGTCTATAGATGTGATTTTTGTCTTATCATTACCTGTTCATATACATTTCTAGTTTCAAAACCTGTTATCGTTAATATATATTGGTGTCCTGTTTTTTTTTTGACAGTCCTCATAAAATGTTATTGCATAGTTCCAAATTACCACCAAAAGTTCCAGATCTGTCTTCATTTATTTATTATTCACCTATTTCACATCATGACTTCTCTCTGTCTTTAGTTGGTGGCCTGTTTGTGCCGTAAAGGATTTGGAGGGCAGTTCTGTGAAAAGCGTACTAACGTGTGTAATGGGCTGCCCTGTTACCCGGGGGTGACCTGTGAGCCCCTCAGTCAACCCGACGAGTTCAACTGTGGGCCGTGTCCCGACAAAACTGTGGCCAATGGAAAAGAGGGATACAAGTGCTTTGAACAAGGTACGTCACATTCAGATGCTGTGTAGAAGATCGTGTATATGTGTATAAGTATGTGTCCTAACTAGGGCTGGGTATCATTAAGAAGTTGCCGATACGATACATACACCTCGATACACAGGCCACAATACGATACATATTTCGATACAGTGAACTTTCAATTCGATACGAAATATTTCAAATCAATTTGATACCGTTCAATAAAAACAATCGCTAAATCATGGCTGTGAGGCTAAGTCTTTGTTAAACCATTTCTTGTGCAAAGTGAATATGAAATACAAACATTTTAATCTTCAAAACAGTGAAAATGTCAAATGTGTCACATGCACCGCAAAAAATTTAATCTAGCCAAGTTAAGATGACTTGAATTAAGAAAGTTTTATCATGATTTGAGTAAATTCCACTTGACAAGTGAAATTATCTATCAGCGGAATATGATTTTTTGTATTTAAAATATGAAAATACAAGAAAAGCAACAACTCTTAAAATAAGAAATGAAATCAAATGTCGCATGAATTTAGAAAAACACTTCCATTCCATTCCTTTGGTAGTCGCCTCAAATAAAGTAAAATGTTCTTAATTTAAGTCATTTTAACTAACCTTTTTGCAGTGTGAGTTTCCTTCCACTAAACAAGCAACAAAACTGTAGCGCTGTAACAAAATAACTTGGTAAAATACACCAAAAAATACTCGATATGTGATATATCGATACAGCAGCCCACAATATCGATACTGTATCATTACATTAAACTATACAATATATCGATATTTCAATATTTTTGAACAGCCCTAGTCCTAACCACCTCTTCTGTTCCTTAATGAATCTAATCTAATATTACAGTCTGTCTTTATTCATATTAATTAATTATTACTTAATTATTAAACGTGGATGGGACAAGTTCTCACAAGGCAAAATTGATGCAAGTTAGACACACATGAGGAAAGTTATCTTGTATTTTTTACTCCATGTGTTGGTGTTGTGATGACAAAAAGGGGTTACGTGCTGTTAGTCACATTCCTTGAAACTCTGTAGTTCCTAAAAGCAGTGCTACAATGACAGAATCTCGTCTTCTCTCGTTCTTGTGGACATAATCTCGTGTCTCGTCTTGTCTTTTGTAAATTGTGTCTTGTCCCAGCCATAAATATTATTTGTGTTGTTTGTGTGTTCAGACTTCTGCGAGCCGCCTCACCCTTTCCCGTGTCACAAAGACGCCATCTGTAAGAGTTCAAAGTCCAACTACACCTGCACCTGTAAACCTGGGTTCACTGGAAATGGAAAGAACTGCACAGGTCGTAAAAAATCTCACATTAAAAACTGATTCTTGTGAGCTCATCAAAAACATAGATGGAGTTGTGTTTTGTTTCTTTCACTCATGTTTGACCAACCCTTTATTATTATCACTGTTGGGCAAGTTACTTTAAAACTGTAATGTGTTATTTATGACTTGTTACTGTCATTTCAAAGTAATTTGTTACATTACAATATTATTGCATTATAAAATGTAAGACATTACATTATTTTTAAGTTACTCTCACCAAAATAACTACAAAGATGCTGAACTTTTGTGCTGTATATGGACGGAACCAAGACTAAACCAGAACTGAACCAGGTCTAAACCAAAACTGAACCAGATCTGAACCCGGACTCAACCAGGACTCAACCAGAACTGAACCAGAACTGAACCAGAACTAAACCAGGACTGAACCAGGACTGAACCAGGACTAAACCAGAGCTGAACCAGGACTTAACCAGGACTTAACCAGGACTAAACTAGGTCTAAACCAGGTCTAAACCAGGTCTAAACCAGGAATAAACTAGGACTAAACCAGAGCTGAACCAGGACAGAATGAGGTCTAAACCAGAATTAAACCAGGACTAAACCAGGTCTAAACCAGGAGTAAACCAAGACTAATCTTGGACTAAAACTTGGAATCTAGGACCGCCCCTAAGAGAACCCCGAGCCCGAGGAACAGGGAGTCTGCAAGGCGTGATCGGGCGTCAGCTGCGGCTAGCCCTGTGGACCTGTGGACCGCGGAGTTCTGTGCTGGTCCTTTCGCGTCTTCGGCGTTTCACCGCTGCTGATATCGCCATGATTTTAGCGAATTTGTATGAAGAAAAATGAAAAACCCACCACTTCAATCCAGAGTAAAAATGCACATCACTGACATTTGCACTGAGTAAAATATTACCATTTTTTTCCCCTGTAATGCCGCAAAACGCAACGCATTACAGTAATTCTTTACTTTTATAACGCGTTACTCCCAACACTGATTATTAGTTTGTTTACATCTCCAAAGCTCAAAATGCTCCCTTCCAACTTGTGATATCATGAAGTGGTACTTTTCAAATGAACAGCTCCTTTCAATCTCTAGTTCAGTAGAGATTTGCAATTCCAGGACTGAAATTATCCAAATGTTTCTAGTGAAGGTGTATGGAGTTTAAAAACACAGTGGAGCACTAGCGATCACAAGGTGGAACAGAGTGCTTTCTGTTTGAGAGAAGAACTCCTAAATTTGTGTGTCAAACATGTGTGAATGAAACAAAAGAAAACTTCAGATATGGTTTTGATGAGGACACAACATTATAACATAGATATTAGCAATATTGTCCCTTTGTGATTCAGAATATGTCATTAAAATGTGATATATGCTTCTAAATGTTTCTCTCTTTTTGCATTATAGACATCGACGAGTGTGCAAATCTTAAGACGTGCCCCAATGCAAAGTACGAGTGTAAGAACACACCTGGCTCTGTGGCATGTGTCTGCAGATACAAAGATAGCAACCACAATGACGGATGTGGTACGTACAGTTTAAAAATAAGGAAGTAAAAACTCATTTGATTTATGCAATATGTAACCCATGCACCATGAAGTCTGCATTTTATGTTTTACATGTGTTGCATTTTTTTTAATTTTCATTGCTTTAACCAATATGAACAATCAGAATACTTATAAATAATAAATATACATATATATATCCTCCTGGGACCCGAACAAAAAAAGTGTATTGCAGTATTATTTTTTATTTTTATTATTATTATTATTATTATTATTATTATTATTTTATTATTTGAAAGTAAATAAACATCTTAGCATTTAGATATTGTTCAATTTTATTTTATTTCATTTTTTTATATAATTTTGTAACATGTCCTTTGTAATCCATGTGAAGTTAACAACCTAACGAAAACAGCTTTTTTAATGACCAACATCTCTGACCAGCTTCTACATTTGCCTCAAAAAGTTTTTAGACTCCCTTTTAATTTCATCATAGTGCAGCCACAGACTTGGGTCCTATTGAGCTCATTTTTTATCCTGGACATGATTGTATCTATAATCCCCTCAGCCCTATTCAGGCAGAGGAATTTAGTCCCAACATTAAGAGTCAATCTCCAAACACTTAAGACGGACTGGTGAACTTGGTGTCTGCTACAAAGGACACAGATGAACGGGCCGGGTCTCAGGAGGATATATGAATCTGTGTATCACTCGTTCATTTGTTTTTCAATATAAAACCAAAAATAAGAAAATGAAAACAACAGTTTTCTTCATTATTTGTCTCTCCAAAACCAAAATAAAAAAACGAATAACAATTACTTTTTCTGTTTTCGATTTTGTGTTTAAATGAATAATGGAAAAAATGGACTGAACCACGACTAAAACAGGTCCGGGACCAGACCGGAACCAGACCAGGACTGAGACCAGGACTTAGACCGGGACCAGACCAGGACTGAGTCTGGGACCAGGACAAGGACCAGGACCAGGACTGAGACCGGGACTGAGACCGTGATTGAGACCGGGATTGAGACCGGGACTGACACTGGGACCAGACCAGGACTAAGACCAGGACTGAGATTGGGACCAGACTAGGACTGAAAACGGTTTAGTCCTGGTTTAAGTCCTGGTTCAGTTCATATGTGGAGCAAAAAGCATCGCAGTTTAAGTCACAGCCGTTATCCGTTTTTTCTTTTTTTTTGGAGACAAATAATGAAGAAAGCAGTAGTTTTTTCATTTTCTTATTTTTGGTTTTATTTTGAAAAACAAATTAACAAATAATACACTGATTTACATGAATGATAGATAATAAATTTTTGATGTTGTGACTTAAACATAATTGATAACTGAATATTTGTCATTTGTTACCCACACTGCTCCTCAAACAAATTCATACACATATATAAATATGATATTATACATTTAATTTACTCTAATTTAGAAAATGTCTTGTCATTTGGAATAAGCACACATGCTACCACACATTCGACCACTAGAGGGCAGTATACACAATACACATAAACATAGGAATAGTCCAGTTATTCAGTGTATGATTAAAAGCTACCTTCATCTTTTTTTGATCGTATTGATTGAGTAATAATAAAAAATTTGTGAAATGGGTCTTGGGTCATTCAGAATATTATGTAATCACTAATCAATAGTAACTGTCTTATGTGTCTTTCCTTGTAGGTGACTCTGCCAATCCTCCAGGTACAAAAGTTCATAAACATACATGAAACATCACTTTTTATTCTGAAGTGAAATGACATTATTTTGTTTTTAGGATCAAATGTTTTCAAAGTGTCACTGGGCTGGCAGCAGAACAATGGACTCACGCAGGTTTGAACATATTTAATTGCATTTTTTCTGACAGATACAGATATTTCTAATTGGTGTTGTTTATTTGCTAATTTAACACAATTACACACTTTTATAAAATGTATGTTAAGGTCTAAACTGGTTTTATATAAGTGCCATGTCCAATCTAACAGAAGTAAACTTTAACCTTATCCGCAGACAGTGTTGGGAAGGTTACTTTTAAAATGTATTCCCCTACAGATTACAGATTACATACAACAAAATGTAGTTTGTAACGTAATCCATTAAATTACTTAAAGGGAGTAACATAATCTGAATACTTTGGATTACTTGATTTGCTGTAGATTTGTAAAGACGAGGAAATCTTCAAATAAGATGTTTTGTCTGATAAAAAACAATGAAAAGCCCAGACTTTACTGAACCGTATTAAAAATATTATTGATAGAAGAAGACGAAACACATCCATGCAGCATGTTTAGTCCTGTTAAATCCAGTTTTAGACCTGGTTTAGTCCTGGTTTTAGACCGGGTTTAGTCCCAGTTTAGACCTGGTTTAGTCCCAGTTTAGACCTGGTTTAGACCTGGTTTTAGTCCTGGTTTAGTCCTGATTTAGACCTAGTTTATTATGGTTTGAGATGTGGTTTAGACTTCGTTTAGGCCTGGTTTGGACCTGGTTTAGACCTGGTTTTAGTCCTCGTTTAGTTCTGGTTTAGTCCTGGTTTAGACCTGGTTTTAGTCCTGGTTTAGACCTGGTTTTAGTCCTGCTTTAGTCCTGGTTAAGACCTGGTTTTAGTCCTGGTTTAGTCCTGCTTTAGTCCTGGTTTAGACCTGGTTTTAGTCCTGGATTAGTCCTGCTTTAGTCCTGGTTTAGACCTGGTTTTAGTCCTGGTTTAGTCCTTGGTTTAGTCCTGGTTTAGACCTGGTTTTAGTCCTGGTTTAGTCCTGGTTTAGACCTGGTTTTAGTCCTGAATTAGTCCTGGTTTAGACCTGGTTTAGACCTGGTTTTAGTCCTGCTTTAGTCTTGGTTTAGTTCTGGTTTAGTCTTGGTTTAAACCTGGTTTTAGACCTGGTTTTAGTCCTGCTTTAGTCCTGGTTTAAACCTGGTTTTAGTCCTGGTTTAGTCCTGGTTTAGACCTGGTTTTTGTCCTGGTTTTAGTCCTGGTTTAAACCTGGTTTTAGTCCTGGTTTAGTCCTGGTTTAGTCCTGGTTTAGACCTGGTTTTAGTCCTGCTTTACTCCTGGCTTAGTCCTGGTTTAGTCCTGGTTTAGATCTAGTTTAGACGTGGTTTTAGACCTGGTTTAGACCTGGTTTAGACCTGGTTTAGTGTCTGGCAATGAGTGGAATTACCAAAAAAAAAAAAGAAAGGGAATAGCCCAAAATGTGACAACAGGAAAATACCGCCATGTGATCCATTTATTTCAACAAAGTAACTGTAATCCAATTACCACTCATTGAAACAAGTAACTGTAACCGAATACAGTTACTCATAATTTGTACTCTGATTACGTAACTCCGGTACGTGTAATCTGTTATTCCCCAACACTGTCTGCAGAGGTTATAACTAAAACAAAAAGCAATTCCTATTTATTTTCAGTTCACTGTTCAGCCTCATAACAAGATACTGACACTATTTTCTCTTCCATTTCTTCAGCTGGAGAATCTTTGGTCGTCTGGTTTTACGAATAAGTTTTACAATGCGAGTCAGATCAACCCGAGCGAGTACCGTGTGAATGTCTCCAGTGATACTCCACACTGGTACATACAGGATTACATGTCCCGGGCCAGCACCGAATACAAGATCCAGTCAGTCAACGTCGAAGGTAAGCTCTAAAATTGTACATTATTTTTATTTAAATATAAAACCAAACTGTGAAATGCTTCTCAGATTTTATTCAAGCAAGTAGACGAAACTAAAATTTGTGTCCAGTTAAATTTCATGCTTGAATGTGTCAATTAAAACTGTATTAAAAAAACAAAAACATGTATTAAAAGTGCAGTATGTAAATTTTCTGGTGGGGATTTCATCACCTGCTTGTCTCTGTGGTTAATGCTTTGTTGCCTGGAATGTTCCACAGTATAAAATTAAACATTAAATCTATATATCTAAGAAAAGGAAAGTTGAAATTGTTTGACGAGGTGTGGGGTCCTCTTAAAAGTTTTGTAGGGAATCTTAATTTGACGGATGGTGCTGAGGATGACTGAAATTACTCTGTAAACCTTTTAATTAGATTTTTTAATGTATGTGTATATACATTTTATATTTTTATGAGTGTTCGTATGTATATGGACATGTATATGTATGTATGTATGTATGTATGTTTATATATATTTATATTTAGGTTGAGGGGGAAAAAAGTAATGTAAAAGTATGGATGGATAACTTAATTTTCTAACTGTAAGGTTGATCTGTCCTTGTTTTTCTTTTTTATTTGTTTTCATGTACACGACTGGCAAATAGATTGTAATCATGCTTTCATAATGTACAAAAACAGAAACAAAAACATTGTTATAAAAAAAATCTATGTATTTCCACGGAGACAAGATAGAGACAAGCATGTAACACCTCCAGACAGATCTGTGGACAAGTGATGATATTCAGTTACAAATTGTTTAGGGACAGACATGTTTGGGGGAAAAAAAACATTTTAAAATAATGTCATTCTTTTTCCTTTCAGACTTAGATGAATGTGCAACCAAAATCGCGGTTTGTAAGGAGCCTGCCGTCTGTGAAAACACATATGGAGGTTATAGATGTGTCTGTAACGGTGAGGCCGATGTGGACGAAAACCAGGAGTGTATCCTCAATGGTGAGTACAAGCATTGTTCCACTATAGTTTTAATTACCGTATTTTTCAGACTATAAGGCGCACTTAAAATCCTTTAATTTTCTCAAAAATCGACAGTTCACCTTGTATGTATTAATTCTGGTTGTGCTTTCTGACCTCGAACTAATTTTATGTAGTACACAGCGCTCAAAAATCTGTCAAAATGTTTTAGTACGACTTTGGTGAACTACGAAGCCGCACCGCTTGATGGTTTGTCAGCGCATTACGGCAACTGTAGCCAGGAGTCTCGCATCAACCACATTATTACTCAGTGTATATTTGAGTCCTTCTTATAGGAATTAATAAAAAAAAAAACTTAAAGTATCCACCCATATTCACATTCATAATACACATTCACCAAGACAGGGAGGCAATGCCGGGTGAATTACATTTAGACTTGGTTTTAGACCTGGTTTAGACTTGGTTTGGACCTGGTTTAGACCTGGTTTAGTCCTGGTTTAGTCCTGGTTTGGTCCTGGTTTAGACCTAGTTTAGACTTGGTTTTAGACCTGGTTTAGACTCGGTTTGGACCTGGTTTAGACTTGGTTTAGTCCTGGTTTAGTTCTGGTTTAGACCTGGTTTAGACCTGTTTTTTGTCCTGCTTAAGCCCTGGTTTAGTCCTGGTTTAGACCTAGTTTAGACCTGGTTTTAGACCTGGTTTAGACCAGGTTTAGATCTGGTTTGAACCTGGGTTTAGACCTGGTTTAGACCTGGTTTAGACCTGGTCTAAACCCAGGCCAATAACTGATGGCCAATGTTGTTTTAATGTATGTTGTATTGTTTTATTTTTGTTACGTTGTTGTTCATGTGTTAAACCTCTTGCTGCATTCACTCTTACTGTACATAAAAAAACAAAATTGTGATTAAAACTGGGACTAAAACTGGAAGTAAACCAGGACTAGTACAGGATCCAACTAAGTCTACGTCAGGACTAAAGTCTTCTAAAACCAAGAATGTGAAGAGCATGTTTTTGTTTTCAGCCCAAGTCTCGTCCTCTAAATCAAACCTGGACCTGATTCTGGGGTTAGTTTTGGGGCTGGGGATCCCGCTCCTGCTGCTGTTCCTGGCTCTGCTCGCCTACTGCTGCTACTCCAGGAGGAAGAAAGTCACCGGAGAGTAAGTAGCCACACAAAAGAAATAGAACTACACATTCAATGATAATTAGTCTAACACAAGACTACACTTCTGCACATTGTAAACCAAATACTAACTAACCCTAGCCCAATAAAATAACATCAATAATAAACTGTCTGTTACAGTTGAATCTGTGTATCATTCGTTCATTTGTTTTTCAATATAAAACCAAAAATAAGAAAATTAAAAAAACAACTATTTTCTTCATTATTTGTCTCCAAAACTAAAATGAAAAAAACAGATAACGATTAGTTTTTTTCAGTTTTCAATTTTGTGTTTAAATGAAAAATGGAAAAAATGGATAACAGCCGTTTCCCGTTTCCGTGACTTAAACTGCGATGCCGGACTTTTGCGCCACATACAGACTGAACCAGGACTAAACCAGGACTAAACCAGGACTAAACCAGGACTAAACCAGAACTAAACCAGGACTAAACCAGGTCTGTGACCAGACCGGAGCCAGACCGGGACTCAGACCTGGACTTAGACCGGGACCAGACCGTGACTGAGACCAGGACCAGACCAGGACTGAGACCAGGACTGAGACCAGGATTGAGACCAGAAAACAGGACCAGGACTGAGACCAGGACTGAGACCTGGACCAGACCGTGATTGAGACTGGGACCAGACTGGGACCAGACCAGGACTGAGACCGGGACCAGACCGGAACTGAGATTGGGACTAGACCGCGACCAGAACCGGGACTGAGACTGGGACCAGACCGGGACTGAGACCAGGACTGAGACCGGGACCAGACCGTGATTCAGACTGGGACCAGACTAGGACCAGACCAGGACTGAGACCGGGACCAGACCGGAACTGAGATTGGGACTAGACCGGGACCAGAACCGGGACTGAGACTGGGACTGAGACTGGGACCAGACCAGGACCAGACCGTGATTGAGACTGGGACCAGAACCAGGACTAACACTAGGACCAGACCAGGACTGAAAACAGTTTAGTCCTGTTTTAGTCCTGGTTCAGTCCGGCATTGCAGTTTAAGTCACAGAAACGGGAAACGGCCTTTATCCGTTTTTTTCCATTATTCATTTAAACACAAAATCGAATACTGAAAAAACAAATCATTATCCGTTTTTTCCTTTTGGTTTTGGAGACAAATAATGAAGAAAATAGTTGTTTTTTCATTTTCTTATTTTTGGTTTTATATTGAAAAACAAATTAACGAATGATACAGGGATTCAGTTGTGTTGAGTTTTTGATGGTGGTCGGGGGGTCGTGAGTGTTCTTGTGTTCAGCGTGAGCTCTTGTAGTTACTTCGATCCGTTAAGAGAAGAGGTAAAAGCTGTTTTCACTCTAATCTGTCGTGCAAACATGTTTTTTTTTTTTTTTAAACTTTATTTTTGTGTGTGTTTGAAAATTTTATACGTTTACAAAACAAAACGAAAAGGAAAATGCAGACCACAACAAAACAAGTAAAATAAAGATTTTAAAACTTGCAGTAAAAAATTTTTAATTAAAATTCAGAGCATCTAGAGTAACCAATAGTTATCTGTCCTGACAGTTTTTAACATATCGAATTCAAATAATCGTTCCATTTCCTCCAATACCTATTACATTTGGCAGTAGAAAGTCTCAATGAAAATGTCAATCTTTCCATGTCATATATCTCGTTGACTACTTTGATCCAGTCAGTGAGTCCAGGTGCATCTTTACACAACCATTTCCTGGTAATGGCTTTCTTTGCTCCAGCCAGCAATATTGACAAAAGATATTTGTCTGATTTCTGTAATCCACATATAATATTACAAAAAAAGACTTCAGTAAATCCCAATGATATTGGCAGGTGTAATCTGAATATACTTTGAATAGCTTTTATCACCATTGTCCAGTAGGATGTGATCTTAACACAGTCCCAAAATATGTGAAAATGCCCTGCTCTGACATCACCACAGTCTCTCCAACACCGAGCCATCTCTGGGTCATTACTCCGCTTACTCTTAATATAGGGTGTAACAAAAAAAACGTACAGTAGTTTTCCATGTGAATTCTCTCCAAAGACCAGAGCTGGAGGTGGTCATTGCAGTTCTGCAGATATTGTACCAGTCATCCTCAGATATTGTAATATTAGAATCTTTTTCCCATGCTTCTTTAATGTATATACTAGAAATGTTCTTTTTCTGTTTTCACTCTAATCTGTCGTGCAAACATGTTTTTATACATTTAAGATTGTCCGTGTTTATTATTTGTAGCATGTCAGCATATATTATCTGTGTAAATAAGTGTCTGATCATGCTCAGATTAGCATTTAGTTTCATCTGATTATAGATTTCATATTGATTTGTGTTTGAATATTGATTTTTAACAACTTTAGCCCGGAGACAGTGGTTCATTTGAAGGATTTAAAACTGTTGCCTGTAGCTTCAGCGGCTTTTGTCTCCAGTCTTCAGCTTCTTCTTGGAGGATGATCTGCCCACTCTTAAACTATATTAAACTGAAAGTCTTTGGCCCTAGTTATGAAACGGGATTGAGTAATACACGCTCGCTGCAAAAAGGCGTATCTACAGAAGTTAAAATAACCACAAATGCCAAAATGTAATAATAAATCTACAATAAATTATAATTAATTCTTTAAGATATTATTAATTGTGATACATTTTTTATTTGAATGAGCATACATATGGGATTTGAATGGATTTTAAAATTAGGTCTGTAAACAAGAATGTGCTCTATGTGAACTGAACTGAACTGAAGCAAATGAAATACTTCTACTACTGATACTACTGATACACTACGACTACTGATACTACTACTGACACTACGACTACTGATACTACTACTGACACTACTACTACTACTACTACTACTGACACTACTACTACTACTACTACTACTACTACTGACTACTACTACTACTACTACTACTACTACTACTACTGACTACTACTACTACTACTACTACTACTACTACTACTACTACTACTACTACTACTGACTACTACTACTACTACTACTGACTACTACTACTACTACTACTACTACTACTACTGACTACTACTACTACTACTACTACTACTACTACTACTGTACTACTACTACTACTACTACTACTACTACTACTACTACTACTACTACTACTACTACTACTACTACTACTACTACTACTACTACTACTACTACTACTACTACTACTACTACTACTACTACTACTACTACTACCACTACTACTACCGATACTACTACTACTACCAATACTACTGATAGTACTACTACTACTACTACTACTACTACCTACTACTACTACCTACTACTACTACCGATACTACTACTACTACTACTACTACTACTACTACTACTACTACTACTACTACCTACTACTACTACTACTACTACTACTACTACTACTACTGACTACTACTACTACTACTACTACTACTACTACTACTACTACTACTACTACTACTACTACTACTACTACTACTGACACTACTACTACTACTACTACTGACACTACTGACTACTACTACTACTACTGACACTACTACTACTACTACTACTACTACTACTACTACTACTACTACTACTACTACTACTACTACTACTACTACTACTACTACTACTACTACTGACACTACTACTACTACTACTACTACTACTACTACTGACTACTACTACTACTACTACTACTACTACTACTACTACTACTACTACTACTACTACTACTGACACTACTACTACTACTACTACTACTACTACTACTACTACTACTACTACTACTACTGACTACTACTACTACTACTACTACTACTGACTACTACTACTACTACTACTACTACTACTACTACTACTACTGACTACTACTACTACTACTACTACTACTACTACTACTACTACTACTGACTACTACTACTACTACTACTACTACTACTGACTACTACTACTACTACTACTACTACTACTACTACTACTACTACTACTACTACTACTGACTACTACTACTACTACTACTACTACTGACTACTACACTACTACTACTACTACTACTACTGACTACTACTACTACTACTACTACTACTACTACTACTACTACTACTACTACTACTACTACTACTACTACTACTGACTACTACTACTACTACTACTACTACTACTACTGACTACTACTACTACTACTACTACTACTACTACTACTACTACTACTGATACTACTACTACTACTACTACTACTACTACTACTACTACTACTACTACTACTGCTACTACTACTGATACTACTACTACTACTTCTACTACTACTACTGATAAAGTCAGAAAATTACATTAGATATTATTATGGCAATTCAATATTTTTCTGAAAATATAAACCAGTTATCAAATCACAATAAATATACAAGTAAATATCCTGTATGAGTCATTCAAGACATTTTACCTAATGCAGATAATCTTTTTTTCCAGTGAGATTTGCAGATACAACCACGGGATTTATTATAAAACAGTTGTGGGTTAACTCATTCAGATTAACTGTGAATGAGTTTGTTACACAACACGCACTGAAGCATGAACTGCAGAGGGGGGATGGGAGATTTATTTACTCAGATATAAATGACACACAAACCAAATCAAACGTATGACACAACGTGGAGAGTGTAGTAACCACTTGACCTCGGACCTGGATGAATGGGAATCCCTTTAAGAGCTTTTAAAACACAAACAAGGCAGAAAAAAAAAAACAAACTAGTGTCATTAGTAAACATGTCTTAAACGCAACATATTAGACCTAGATTATTAGACTTGTAATAAAGGTTTAAATATTTTCAGCATATTATTAGGACTGGCGGTAAAAAATACAAATGATTAAATAAAGCATTTAAATTATACCTGATTTCTTCCCATGTATTTAAGCAAATTTTGGCTTGCCCCCTTATAGATATATGTGTAGAAACCCTCAGTTGTCCAGGTAGAATCCATCGCAAAGGAAAAATTCAATCTGTCAACTTGCCAAATATTTATTTAGTTTACATTTT